TACAACTACGATGTACGATGTACGTGTTCTACATCTGGCCATAAATTAAATTACATGGGGATTGACGACTTGTGCCAATTTAACATCTTGGTTTTATATTTTCATCCAGAAGTTGTTCACATAGTTTAAATATATATACCTATAGCTGATTGATAGACCATGATATAAATGTATTTAAATTGGAACATATCTTTTAACTTCATTTGAATATGCTGAATCCTATATTTAAATTGTAATTTATTAAGTCCATCAGTTTGAAATTATCTAATTGTCGGCACCCATGACAATATTTGTTTTGCAGCAAAAGGCGCAATGCGTATCTATTTTTCTTGTTAAAGTATTTATAGATTGTAACAAACTTTTGGAGCACATGTTTTATTGCAGAATTTCATGAATGAAATATTTTATGGACACAATTTATTGTGTACTTTCCCTAACATGAACGAGCAAAAAGAAAACGTTTATATTATTGATAGATAAAACGTAAAAAAGACAATGTACATGTAACAGTATATAAAATTGAGAATGGAAATGGGGAATATGTCAAAGAGACAACAACCCAACCAAAGAGTAGACAACAGACGAAGGCCACCAATGGGTCTTCAACGCAGCGAGAAAATCCCCTACCCGGAGGTGGTCCTCAGCTGGCCCCTAAATAAAATTGTGTACTAGTTCAGTGAAAATGGACGTCACACTAAACTCCAAAACATATAAATGAACTAAAATTAAAAAACATACAAGACTTACAAAGGCCAGAGGCTCCTGACTTGGGACAGGCGCAAAAATGCGGCGGGGTTAAACATGTTTCTCTGCGTGATATGAAAATAATGTATTAATCCTTATTTTTATAAATAAATGGTAAGTTATATGTAGTACGAAATTGTAAAATAGTTATTTCAAGATCGAAAGATAATGCTAACAACCGAAAAAAAAACAATAACAAATTATAACACGAACATGACAAAGAAACTAAAATTTATTGTAATAAAGTTACATCTATATCATTTTTCGTCAATTGCATACGACAAGAGAATTATGTGTAAATCCATTTACTGGTCAACACAGGTAGAGAAAAAGCGTTCAACTGTAACAGACCGATAAACGCATGCTGTCTTTCAGTGGCGATTAAGGATAAAAGGGTTCATGTAGTAGCTGTACCTGTGAACCATTTTATTTATGACTGTCCGGGATGAGATGACGGACACGTTAGATGGCACCGGAAAACCAGTTTATTGAAAAACTGACGGAAAAGTTCTGTGCTTTACAACACAGATCATGCGTCGATGATGCAAGAAAAAACTTGAACTGTTAAAAAAATGGCGAACTTTTGTTTAAATTTAAGGACAAAATGGATCTATGATTACCTTTAAAGGTAAAATGGTAATGTATTTTTAAAATTTTAAAATTCTGAAAGGCGGATATGTGTTCTAATCAATTCTTACTTGCTTCTGGTTTACAGAATGGTGCTGAAGGTGTAAAAGGTGACAGTTCGAGGTGAGGTAGTTGGCAAAATTTTTCCTGAATAGACTTGATAAGGAATTTTAAGGCGGCCAAATCAGAAAATCGTTCTGGACTCAGAATCCCAAAAGGGATATTTTTTAGAATAATTTTCATGTATTCCCTTCTCCCTCTTCTTTTAGGTTACAATACACCATTAGATTTTATGGGCGCAGCCATTTTATGAGCATAACATGGTATTCAGAATTAAGAGTATAGCTAATCCTGATTGGTTGATAAGTGCGCTCGTTATTTTTTGTTATTAGAGACTTCGTGCATTCTGCATTATACCAAAGGCCAAATAAATTATTTTCCTTAGCCCTAACGGAGCTGAGATGTCTTTTAAACGCTTGGATGAGACACGTATTTTTAAGTGCAAAATTGATAGGCATGGGAGATAAGTACAAATCACGCTAAGAAAAGCAACGCGAACCTATATTTTTTGGACCAAAAAATACTGTCCTAATAACTTTTCTTTAATTCTAGCAAGGTTTCGTTAAAAAAATCAACTTTCTAAAGTCTGTATCTCGAAAAAGGCTATCATTGTCGCCTATGGGGAAATTAATTGTTTATTTCAATCTATACAGCGTCGACATTTCTTTATCATAGTGCTCAAAAAGTGTCAAAAACAGTAATTTTACTTGATATTTGATGTGAAACCGTATTTTTTGGTGACAAATGAATTATTGATTAACTAGTTTTTATGCTATAGTCTGTTTCATATTTGTATTGCATTTTACCTTAGAAACAAGGGTGGGTTCGACTTTTGACTTACTGTGGAGAGAATATGTCATTTTCTGAACTTCTGCTGATTTGTTTGAAAAAAGCACGTACACGTCTAGAGTTTTAATATACAAATCGATTTTTAAACATGACAATCTCGATCCAAGTGCTGTTATCGAAATTACCAAATTCAGTGAAAATGTACAGAAATGATCCCCTTCGAACATTGAAATGTTCACTCGAATGGCAGACTATAAAAATTAGAATAGGCATGACATTTTGTAGTTAACGAATAGTTTTCGATGTTTAAACACAAATATTTACACATTTTTCATATTTTGAAATGCTATAGTCTGTTTCAAAAATGTACTTGTATACGAAAATGGTTTCATTTAAAACTGTTGTTCAAAATTCACTGTAGTAGTTACATATTGGATCGGTTTTGGTATCAATATAATCAGTACTTGATGACATATAAAGAATCATTGGAGAAAGTGGACATTATCTTCAGGCCCTTTTTAGCAGTACCGCATTTACTCCAAAAAATCAGAATTTTTTTTTCACATTTTTTGACTGGGGTCACCTCTGATAAAAAATTGTGAAAATTCAGAGAGTAATGCCAGAACGTTTTGAAGATGATTTTTATGTGGCATATATATTAGTGCATCTAACAAACTATGAATTGCATGATTCTAGAAAGTATTAAATACCGTATAGGTTCATACTTGCCAACCTCTGACAATGAAAAATCATGTCATGACATGACATGTCAAAAAGCGTGTGAAAATGTGTGATGTAGTTGCGGACTTTTTAATATGAACATTATACAAATTTGTTAATATAAAACAATAATATTCTACTGTAAAATTTTATTGCATTCAACAATGGCCTGATTTTGCTGCTTTCAAAACAACACTACTAGGCAAATATTCAAAATATCTGCCAGTTTGGTTACATTTACATGATAATAAGGCACACAATGTATCATTGAGTTCTGATCTGAAATCAGTGTAAATTTCTTTATAATTGAAAATGCTCTCTCACAGTAACAACTGTTAAATAATATAATTGGCAAAACTAAAATAGCTTTAACGTTTAAAATAGCAAGCTTTGAAAAAATGTCATATATATATATGATGTTTTTTTTTTTTGCCATTAAAAATGTCATCTATGTCTGCCATTGCGCTCCCCACAAATTATATATGTTGCTATTGTCCGGTCAAAATTCATCAGAAGACAGCTGGTACTCAGAGAACTGATCCAACAGTTTTGTGATATTCCCTTCCCATATGATCTGTGGAAATCTGTTGGCTAGATTTGAAACTGAAAAAGAAAAAAATCTTATAATTTGAATACCATTGAATACTTTATCAAATAGTACATGATTGATAATGTTTGCAGATGATCCAATATGAATATGAGAGTAACATAGGGTGCACATTGCATTGTTCGGCCCTCGATCACTTTCTTTTGATTGATTTTAACACGGACTCCCAACTTTTTTGGTACGTACACTGTTATCGTTTTCGTTTAGCCCTCGGCTCTTTCGACGACAGTACAGGTCCAGAAAGTGACCACTTTTTGCTTGACATTTCCCCAAAGTGAATTTGAGAGAAAGAAGTAACAAAACCTTAAAACCTACTTACAAACTTACCTGAAGTAAAGGGCTTTTGTTGTTCGTCCATATCGTAAATAAGCAAGTAACAATTTCTTCGAAATTCTCGGTATTTATCGTCTACTAATGAAAACACCCGTGAATCGCGATCTCAATAACGACCAAAAAATCAAAACAACAAAAAAGCGTGTAATAGCGTGTTAAGTGACGAAAAGCGTGTACACGCCATGTGACAAAATCCTCGCGTGTAAACCGTTGAAAAAGCGTGTATTACACGCGAATATCATGTGAGTTGGCAACTATGTATAGGTTACAATACACCATTAGATTTTATGGGCGCAGCCATTTTATGAGCATAACATGGTATTCAGAATTAAGAGTATAGCTAATCCTGATTGGTTGATATGTGCGCTCGTTATTTTTTGTTATTAGAGACTTCGTGCATTCTGCATTATACCAAAGGCCAAATAAATTATTTTCCTTAGCCCTAACGGAGCTGAGATGTCTTTTAAACGCTAGGATGAGACACGTATTTTTAAGTGCAAAATTGATAGGCATGGGAGATAAGTACAAATTACGCTAAGAAAAGCAACGCAAACCTATATTTTTTGGACCAAAAAAAAATACTGTCCTAATAACTTTTCTTTAATTCTAGCAAGGTTTCGTTAAAAAAATCAACTTTCTAAAGTCTGTATCTCGAAAAAGGCTATCATTGTCGACTATGGGGAAATTAATTGTTTATTTCAATCTATATCCTATATGATTCTTATATTTTGTAATAAGTCATTATAAGATCTTTGTAACCATGTACTTTGCGTACACTTAAAATAGATAAAACTATATATTTAGTCCTCCTGTATACGTATATGAGTCACCCAGTGTTTAATGAGGTTGCGTACTGATTTTCTCTGAAAATTTCTTATTTACATTCCCGCTGCCGGCAAAATCAAGGGAGGTAATAACTTATTTTCAACTTTCGCATCTTCAATGAAAACGAATGAACATTTAATTTTTTAAATGTACATTAAAAACTATATCATTCGTAAAATATCGAAAAAATTTGTTGAAATCAATACGTATAGTCAAATTTTGTAGAAAGAAAAAGATTTTGTCACCATTTTATAAAGGTTTAATTAGTTTTCGTTTTTCACAAGATTCTTAAAGACTCAAAATGGCTTCGAAGAAGAAACGTGTTGTGCAACTTGAAGAAAAAATGCAAGCCGACGAAGTCGTTGCCGATGATGAAGAAGCATCAAGTGGCATGGATGATGATGACAGTAGTGATTGTGAAGTTAATGAAGTAAGAAAAAACCCTGTCAACCAAATTAACAATATGAAAAAGTACTGAGTGAAAGGACGTTTTCTGGATAAAAGAGTTATCCCCCTTTTCCCACGGTTTTGTTTGTTCCTAAAACTGTTTGGCTACTGACATCTTAATATCAGATAGGTGTTTTTACTGTGAAAGAGATGGGATTTCGTATCAGCAGCTGTTTCAATAACTTTTACATTTTATTTACATAAATTAGTAACCTGATCTTAGACTTAGTATGGTATGGTGTCAGACATGTCCGTCGGACAGTATATTACACTGTGTACTCTGTCAAAAAGCAATTAACCCAAATAACCCCCACCATGTCAACGAATAAAGGATATCTTTCTAGTGTTCAAGAATATTTTCCATCAGGAACAGATATTATGGCATTGTTTATAACAAATTTTCCAGGGGAACTTCTGTTAGGCAGAACAGACATACGCTGACAAGACAACCCATAAATGGGGAAGAGATTCATATAGGGTCGCTATTCCTCAAATGAGGTATAATTTTCTAGTGTTGAATTATTTTTTTTTTAATCTACATTTTATACTTGAAATGACACATACTCACGAATAATGCAGCAAATTTTCCAAAAATGTTTTGGCATATTGCAAGATTATGAATTGAGTAATTTCCCCTTTGCATTAAAAAAAATCCTAGGTAGACCACTGTCAGCGTAATACAGTACAATATGTAATGTATGTCTAGCTCTACATGTAATTTAAGTACTCAAATGTATTTCAACTTTAACCTTGCAGGAAATTCAAGTAGAATTTGAAGCTAGAACGATTGAAGACAGTGATTTTCATGGTACTAGAGCATTGCTACAGCAGGTAAGTCGTCCACACTGGTCTTTATTTATATGTTTTATGGTTAACACTTTAACAACCCTTTTAAAATGCAAAAAAGAAGCATTCAGTTCTAATTTCAAAAAATAGAAAGTTACAAAAAAAAAAGTTTTTTTGTTTGCTTTGTTTAAACTATTCTTATGCATTGTTGTATGGCACCTACCATTATAGATAAATATCTGTGTACAACTATAGTTTGGTTTTCTTGTCATTACAGCTGTTTTTAAAAGCAAAGATAGATTTATCTGAGATGGCCAACACAATTATATCACAGAACTATATAGGAAGTGTTATAAAGGTTAGTTAATAATGTTATTAAGATCCTAATTAAATTTGTCCTGAACATACACATGTAAATGAAATATTTGCCACTGGATGTTAAGCAAACAACACTCAATCTGTCTAAATTAAAATTGATTTTAAAATTTGATAATTTGCCTAAATGAAATTTGAATCATGCTTTTGAAAAAGATATATGGTATAAAGTATGGGTTACAGGTTGTTTTTTTTTACAACTAAAGGTTATGCAAAATTTTCAGATTTTCTATAGATTATACATGAATTTTGTGTGATAGAAAGAAAACTTTATGACATAATTTAAAGATAAAATATGAAAATATGGCTCTTATAATGTGCTTTGTGCTTTCTGAATATAAAAAGAAAATTTTGGTCAAAGGACTAGTTTTCTTGCTACAAAATACACATAGACACACTCATTTTAAAAGGTACATTTTATGAGTTATCTCCCCTTATATGGCAAAGTGGGGGAAAATATAACTAAACAAATATTCTGTATTTGTTAAAACCGTCTTAAAAAAAGAAATCTTATAAATGCATTGCATTCCTCTCTTAAAATTTGAACATTTTTTAAAAGATCTAGATACTCTTTTCGCCTTTTTTACAACCCAAGATGGCAGAGACGCATAATATACCATAAAGGTGATGTTATTTTAATTTGATGTTTGAGATATCCCTCAATAGTGAGAGCAGACTGTTGTCTTTTCATATAAATGTTGGGTTCAAAATTTAATCATGTCAATGTGTAAAAAATGGTGAAAATCTGTATTACTTAAAAGCATCATTCTTTAGAATTAATTTCAGTTAAATTTCGATAAAAATGACAGAATATCAGTCTTCCTTTTGAAATGTCATTTCTAAGGATACTTTCAGTAAGAAAAGAAAGCTGTTTCTAGTTAAACAATTTAACGATACTCTTGAAAATAGCTCTTGATAAAAGTTAATTTTGATCTGTTCAGTTGCAAGAAAATTGATTAATACATAATGGTTTCTTTCTAAAATCAATTGTTATCTACCCTTTAGCAAATAGATATTCCAGACAGTGATGAAGAAGATGATGATATGGGAGAAGGTGACCCAGTTCTTGGTTTAATTACAGTTATCAACATCACTGAAAAACAGGTGGGATTTTATTTGTACATTACAAAATTTTGTATATCGTTTTATATCTGTTTTATATCTGTTTATATACAAAACTAGAAAGAAAATTTTACAAGCACAATTTCATGCACAACAATAAAAATGTTGACTTCCCTTTTTGGCGGAAAAAAAATGTGTAAATGTGGATTTGAATTTGATCAACAATTTTTCATATGGGATTATTATCTTAGGAATCCAGCATACCCTTTCTTTATCCAAATCAGTTCAAATTTCCTTCAGTCTTTTTTTCAGAACCTGTCTAAATAATATATTGTTAAAAAAAAATTTAACCTGAGTATTACTGTATATATGAAATATTTGTCACATAACATTAAGTGATCAACAATCTACATGTACAATGCATGGAAAATTTACATTTACAATTGTTAAGCCCTTTCATACAAAAGTTACATTACAGAATGTCGAGTGTGTTAAACAGTTCAGGTCAATGTTAATGGAGAAGTGTCAAGCATGTTCACAACAACAAAAAGAGAGGTTATCACAGATATTGACAGATGCAGAGCAACAAGTAGGATATCTGATATCAGAGAGATATATCAACATACCACCACAGATATCTGTCCCTATGTATGAATCTTTATTGTAAGTATACATGTACATGTACGTTAATACATATAAATTAAAACTTTTGCAGTATCTCTTGAAATTTCTGTCCTGTAAATCAATAGTACATGTATGTCACTATATACATGTATAAACCAATGATACCACTTCCTGTTTGCCAATAGTTTGGAATTTTTCAACACTCACTGTACAAGGAAAATTTTCGTCAACATTTTCTTGGCTGCTATGGAAGGGAATAATCAGTTATGCTTCAGTTTACATGTAACCTCAATCAGTTGCATGCAGTAACACAGGTCCAGACCCAGTATTTGGCTTGTTTATGCAGAAGTTTCATTTTTTGTGACACATAAACCTGAGACTTTGAGCTAAAACATAAAAATACCTGTCAACAAAATAAAATGCAGATTATCAGTCATGAAGAAAAAAATCTCATAAAGCTAATAGTAACCATTCATGTATGTTTTTAAGTAATTATGAAAAATATTCTGTTATTTTAGCAAAGAAATGGAGAAATGTACAAGAAAGAAAATGAAATATGATTTTGGACACTATATATTAATATCAAAGTGTTACAGACTTAAGGGTTCAGATCAGATGTTTTATACTAACGCTGAGGAGGAGTTCTTATCAAAGGTAAGCACTGATCAATTTACATGCTTTGCATTTGAAATCATGTATAAATCTTTTTATGAAAGAAGCATTTTCTTGAAATTATACCAAATCATTTTGTTATCAGGGAAAAGAATATCAGTATGCGTAGAAAAAATTCTTATTGATATGAAATCTTATGGTTCTACACTGTTATGTTGGTGGCTGTACTTCATAGAAAATTTCATAAAGCTACATCGTAAACAGACCAGGAAGACATGATCTTTTGCAATGCCCAAAACAAACTGTTCAGAATTTCAATGCAGGAAAACAAAAACCAATTTAGCTTTACTTCAAACTATAACTCAGCGAATTGATGTCCATCCCAAAAAATACTAGACTCAATGATTGAACAACACAGCATACAACTTGCATGCAAACAAAATAACATTTGGATTTACAAACAAGCTGTTTCCATCTTTTTCCTTTCGTACTGTTGGTACTTATATTAAAGAAATAAAGGATTATGTCAGTTTTTAAATTAGCCAACATAAATTTTCTAATATGAAGATTAAAGTTATGTTATTTTTATATAATTTGACCATTGTATACAAAATATTTCATCGTATTTTATTAATACATATTATGTGAAAATTAACTTTTCTTGTAATAATATTTATTTTGTTTTACAGGAATGTGAATTTTCCTTCACATACTCTGTTGCATCAGAGCGGGATACTGTGGTGGATGGGAAGTGGGATGCTGAGGATCAGATGGAGGCTATGAGAACTGTGCTTGTGATACCAAGAGAAAATCTCCAAACAGCTGTGGCTAACATTAAAACAGCTTTAGCTGCTACTTAAAAATAAATTTTATCTTTGTCTTAAATGCATATTTTATTGACAATTTTAAGGATGCTTTCTGCTGACATTTTCATTTTCCTCTGTGTTTTGTAAGCCCTGCGGCCTTTCTTAGGATGTAATGCATTTAGATATTTGGTCCACAACCCCATATTTGTCAATACTGAGGATTCATCATTATTAGTGGGATACAAAAATGGCAAATATGACCACCTTGGCCTATTCTAATTTCTGATTTGCTGGACTTTGAAAGTTTTCTTCTCAAGAACCATTGAATTACTAAAACCAGACTTCAATGATATTTTGTTTGAAAGTCCTATACCAATGTTATTTTTGTCAAGCAATTATAAAAAAAAATGACTTTTAGCAGTGGTCAAAGTTTACATTGAAACCCTATATGAAAATATATTTATTTATATTTTCAAGAACAAATGAAGTGCAATGAAACAAAACCATACATGAATGTTCTTTAGAGGGTACTAACTAAGCGTTGTTACTTTTGTTCTGATGAAAAGTTTATTGTGGGTCCAAGGGTTTCTATACATATTGTTATTGTAAAAAGTCATTCCAAAGGTGAGAGGAAGTAATTCTTGATTGCTATAAGAATGTCCAAACTAAGCTTTCATATAATTTTCTTTTAAAAGTCTTCTATATTCATAAGAATAGGACATAAGTTTGAATTAAAACATGTTATATACAGTAACATACATGTATATGTGAAATTACAATATACTGTTACTAAAATTCCATTGGAGATAGTCTAAAATCATTGATCTTTTGGAATATTGATCTTAAGATAATGTCTTAATGTTGTGGACATGATGTAATTCAACTTTTGCAATTGGATACAAAGTCGGAATATCATTTTGTGACCTCATTAACTTGTGTTTCATTTTTCCGTTTTTAATATCTCTATCTATGTGGTACTATAATGTGTATACATTCAGCTGGAGAATCATCTTTGTCTAGTTTAAATTGGTTCTGAAGTTTTACAGATTTCTGCATCTTAACTCTATGCAATATTACAATCAAGGAGTATTTTATTTCAAGAGATTTTTATACTGGTTTTACGAATCTTTAAGTTTGATGTGAAGTAACACAAGTTAATTTGTAGTGCAAGCAATAATGCTTTGATGTTATGGTACGAGTCATTGTCTGCGTAAACTATGTTTAATTACAATACCAATGTATCATTTGACCTATCCTAATAAACTATTTGGCAAAATGTTCCTTGGGCAGAAAACTTGACCTGGTTGTAATCTTCTGGTTTGTTGCCCCGCCTATTTCTGGAAAGGACTCCTAAACAGTGATTTTGACTAGTTTTAATAACAATGTATTCCCAACGCCAAGATGGAGCAGGTGTATAGTTGTGTATCTGTCTGTCCTTTGTCAGTCATTTTTGTTTCTGGATGCTAACTGCAATACTTCAGATTGCATCAATACTGAGATATATGGTGACATATAATGAGAGGAAAATTCTATTGATTTTCAGGTCACAACCTCTAAGGTCAAGTTCATTGTTACAAAAAATAGACTGAACTGCATGCAGAAAACTAAAGTCGCAATGCTAAATCCAATACTACCAACAACAAAAAAATTGCGACTATACTTGAATACATTGTCAAATACAATGAAATGAAGAACTCTTTTGATATTAAGTCATTAGTCCAAGGTCAAGGTCAATGCTACTAACAACAGACTGGAATTGTGCAGTAAAGTGGTATCTGGATTCTTATCAAATACTAATTATGGGTTGGCAACCTTACTTGGATCATGGTCACATATCATAAGAAAAGCTTATTGATTTTATGTAACCACATCAAAGGTCAAGGTCATAGTTATTAAAAAAAAGATCTAAATTTGAGCAGAAAACTTGTTTCCAGATGCTTAATCAAATACTACATGTATGGGAGGGCAAACTTACATGGATATAGTTCTTGTGTAATAAGAGGAAGATCCCTACTGATTTTTCAAGTCATAAGGTCTAAGGTTTTAGTTAATAAATATAGATGAGTATCTTAAAAAAAATGGAAAATCTATATCATCAGGTCAAATTAAGCTGTCCCCGTTTATATGGAGGGGTGTTGTGTACTCAAAGTACTTTAATTTGCATTCTTGTTATATACAGTTTTTTGTTGTTTTTTTTAAATCTCTCTAAGAAGAATGTTGCTAAATCTGATATAGCCTTAAATGGAAGAATCGCCTTTTGCTGTTAATAACTTAGAAAATATGTACGCATTTTTTCAGAGTGTCCATGTCTGTGTTTACATTTATAAAATTTTAATCATCCATGAAACTACAAGGCCAATTTGAACACTCTTGGGAGAAAAAATGTAAATTCTTTAATAAAATGATGATCCTCCAGAGGAAAAAATGATTTGGATTGGTCATTTCTCTTATTTCTTCTCTGAAACTTCATGGCCACATCTGATGGAATTTTACAGGAATAATGATGGGGTGACATAAATGATGTAGTGATGATGCCACAAAGGCACAATAGTCCCCCTTGAACCCTAAGGGAAATCACATTTTTCGTTCTCAAAATCTACTTGGATGAACTGCCCCAAACTTGCAAGAAATGAAGAATGGAAGATTTCATATTTCATTTAATCTGAATTAGTCAAACATTGCTATTCTTGATCCTGTTTACTCATTTAGCCTAATGAAAATATGAAAAACATAAGCTGATTTGTAACCTGTAGAGCTGCAAATAATGCACAGTATATTGGTCTCCTACATAAATTCTGCTTTCGTTCAAATCAGCTGACTAACAGGGCACCTATACAGCCAGAAGTAATTCTTACTTCCTATCAATTGAAAAGTTGCTACTGAATATATACACATAGATTTAATAGGTGCTTTTTCGGTTGTAAAGGTGGTTGTTGACATTGGGCTTAGTTCCAGGTGACCAATACAGGTTCTTAAGAGCCTTGAGTTTTGAATTATTTGTTATAATGATACCGGTTAACATTTTTTACACTTAAGTATGCTTTGGTTCTTTTGCTTAATATATGTAATTTATTGATGTTTGATGTGATAAAATAAAATATAGGAAGTATACCTTGTTTGGTATTTATTCCAAACGGACCATAGAGAGACAAATAAGGATTACTTTAAATTCCTCAATCTTATGTTTAAGGTTTAGAGATTTGGTGATTTTGGTTAACAAATTGGTGTTTTCTCCAATACAGTTTACAAGAATGTTTAGTCTAGTCACCCCTGTAATTTGTATTGCACTAAATCCTTTGCAGGGTGAAATATAGATTAAGGTACATGCATCAAAATACTTCACAAGTAGCCAATCTTGCCTTATTAGTCCCCTACCGACGAAGTCGAAGGGGACTTTAGGTTTGCACTCTGTCCGTCTGTCTGTCCGTCCGTCCGTCTGTCCATCCGTCAGTATGGCAAATCAGTTTTCCAGACTTTTTTTCTTCATGCTTGAAGATATTGATTTGATATTTGGTGTATTGTTTCATCATGACAAGTTACAGGTCAAGTTGGATTTTCACGATTTTAGCTTTTCTCCTTGTTCAGTTAAAGCCCTTTCCCTAGAATTAAATTTTTGATGAAATACTTATTAATTACTAGAATTCTGTTCAAAGGGAATTAACTCATTTTTTAACTTTCCCTAGAATTAAATTTTTGATGAAATACTTATTAATTACTAGATTTCTCTTCAAAGGGAAATAACTCATTTTTATATGGTATGACGTTGGCGTCGTCATCGTCCGAAGACACATTAGTTTTCGCACTCTAACTTTAGTTTAAGTGAATGGATCTCAATGAAATTTTACCATAAGGTTCAATACCACAAAAGGAAGGTTGGGATTGATTTTGGGGGTTATGGTACCAACAGTTAAGGAATTAGGGGCCAAAAATAAGCATTTTTGTAACTTCCAGACATAACTTGTGTGTAAGTGTATGGATCTCTCTGACATTGTACCACAAGGTTCCATATCACAAAGGGAATGCTGGGATTGATTTTGGGGGTAATTGCCTCCAAATTTTAGGAATTAGGGGCCAAAAAGGGGCAAAAAACAAGCATTTTTCTAGTTTCGTGACAATAACTTGTGTGTAAGTCTATGGATCTCTCTGAAATTGTATCACAAGGTTCCATATCACAAAGGGAATGCTGGGATTGATTTTGGGGGTAATTGCCTCCAAATTTTAGGAATTAGGGGCCAAAAATGGGCAAAAAACAAGCATTTTTCTAGTTTCATGACAATAACTTGTGTGTAAGTGTATGGATCTTTATGAAATTGTACTGCAAGGTTCCATATCACACAGGGAAAGCTGGAATTGAGTTTCGGGGTAATTGCCCAAAATGTTTAGGAATAAGGGGCCAAAAAGGGGCCAAAAATAAGCATTTTTCTAGTTTCCAGACAATAACTTGTGTTCAAGTGTATGGATCTCTCTGAAATTGTACTGCAAGGTTCCATACCTCAAAGGGAAGGCTGGGATTGATTTTGGGGGTAATTCCCTCAAAATTTTAGTAATTAGGGGCCATAAAAGGGCAAAAAAACAAGCATTTTTCTAGTTTCAGGACAATAACTCGTGTGTAAGTGTATGGATCTTTATGTAATTGTACTGCAAGGTTCCATATCACAAAGGGAAAGCTGGGTTTGAGTTTTGGGGTAATTGCCCTAAACATTTAGGAATTTGGGGCCAAAAAGGGGCTAAAAAACAAGCATTTGTCTAGTTTCCAGACAATAACTTGTGTTCAAGTGTATGGATCTCTCTGAAATTGTACTGCAAGGTACCATACCACACAGGGAAGGCTGGGATTGAGTTTGGGGGTGATGAATCATAAGGGGGTTCAAAAAATTGGGGGGGGGGGGTTTCCTTTTTTCTTTAAATTTTCCATTTTAAATTGGTTATTTCTGATTTATATATAAAAGCAAATAATAATGATATGGTTTGAATAGGTAAATTAAAGTTTTTTAAGTTCTTAGACCACTTTCATTCTGTGTCATAAACCTATGCTGTGTCAAATATTTAATTACAATCCAAATTCAGTGCTGTATCAAGCTTGAATGTTGTGTCCATACTTGCCCCAACTGTTCAGGGTTCGACCTCTGCGGTCGTATCAAGGTGCGCCCCAGCGGAGCATTTTATTTTTTAAGATTTGTAAAAGACATTGTACATTGTTTGTATTAAGATAAATGACATTTTGGATTTTTTTCCTTTTCTTTAGTAAATTGTTTGAAGAATGTAGTGGTAGGTTTGCTCCATTACAATGAATTTTTAACCGGTAGGGGACTATGTATTGCAATGCAATAATCACAGAATGCTTGTTTGGTGTTATTTGTATTCAGTTACTGTAAATTCAGAAATTATTGTGTGCATTTATTATTGCCATTTTTGAAGAATAGACAAAAATGCTGGATTTATTATTGTGATTTCAGGAAAATCTGCATAAAGATATATGTATCAGATTTCAGATTGTGAGTTCTTATTATTGTGATCCTAACACAGTCGCAATATAAGCATTAATAAAAACCTCGCAATAATTTCTGAATTTACAGTATCCCAGGATGAAGACCTAGAAGGGTTTTATTGATTTATCCTGGTCAGTTTATCCATCTGTACCTTTTGGTGTCACTAGTGAAGTTGGAAACTGCTTCTTTATTAAAATATCTGAGTTAAGTATGGTTTTTGGCGAGATCCATGTTCAATCTTTCAACATTACAACCTTCTTCCATATCACATCATAATTCACCAATAACTATACTCTACACATGATTGGTTATTAAGTATCACATGTATGTCCATTGGTCAGACCTCCATGGTGGTATATCAGTGGTACCATTACTTTAAACTTTTTCTCTAATTTATTGTGCATTTAAACCTGTTCTGACCAGCTTGATAAATTTTTGATTAATCATTTATTGATTAAATTGTTGTGTGTAATTTCCTCAAAATTTATTCAGAATAATAGACTTGAATTTTTCATTTACCCACTAGAGAAACAAATTCTACCACTTTACCCCCATTATGGTATTAATCCACTTAAAACATCACTCAATGGATCATCTGAATAAGGTAAGGGTCTGGTTATTTCTGTCTGACATGTATACCATTGAACAAATCTAAAAATAATATTGTTTTTCACCTAGTCATATAGTTTAAGAGGCACTTATCTAATTCCAAAATCAAATAAATGTGGACAGTGTCCACATGTGGACACAGATGATGCCCCCACTTGCATATCATATACATGTAGTTATAAAGGGACATAACTGAAGAACGGTAAAAGTGGCACTACCCAAATTTGAACTTGATCTGAGTTTTGTGGTAATAACTATGTGTGGAAGTCTCATTACATTTGGTTGAGGCTAAATTAAGTAGAGAACAGAAACTAAAAATTCAGCAATTTTTCTATTTGTAAACACGCATAACTCTAGAACGGTTGTGTATAAGTTTTATAACATTTAGTCGAGACAAAACTAAAGTTAGAGAACGGAAACGAAAAATTCAGCAATTATGTTTATAAACAGACATAACTCAAGAATGGTAAAAGTGTCGCCACCAAATTTCGTACTTAATCTGTATTATGTAGTAATAAGGATTGTGTATAAGTTTCATAACATTTGGTTGAGGCAAACTAAAGTTAGAAAACGGAAACAAAAAATTTGTACTTGATCTTAGTTTTGTGGTAATGAATATTGTGTATAGGTTTCATAATGTTTGGTTGGGGCAAACTTAAGTTACAGAATGGAAACTAAAAATTTTGCAATCTTTCGATTTATAAAGGGGCATAACTCAATAATGGTTAAAGTGACACTACCAAAATGTCAAAATTAAACATTGCATTGTATAAAGCATTGATTGTAGTTGATTCAACTATAATCATGGACAAAGGAAGATAACTCCAATTTTAAAAATTACTTGATATTTAGAAGAAAATAAAAATTTTGCAATTTTTCCATTTATAAAGGGCATAACTCTAGAAGTTAAAGTGACGCCACAAAATTCAAACTTCATCTGTGTTTTGTGGTAATAAGCATTGTGTATAAGTTTCATAACATTTGGTTGAGGCAAACTTAATTAATAGAACGGAAACTAAAAATTTTGCAATTTTTCCATTTATAAAGGGGCATAACTCTAGAACGGTTAAAGTGACGCCACCAAAATTCAAACTTTATCTGTGTTTTGTGGTAATAAGCATTGTGTATAAGTTTCATAACATTTAGTTGAGGCATACTTTAGTTAGAGAACGGAAACTAAAAATTTTGCAATTTTTATACGACCGCAAAAATTAAAAATTTTTTGGTCGTATATTGGTATGACGTTGGCGTCGTCGTCGTCCGGCGTCGTCCGAAGACACATTGGTTTTCGCACTCTAACTTTAGTTTAAGTGAATGGATCTCCATGAAATTTCACCATAAGGTTCAATACCACGAAAGGAAGGTTGGGATTGATTTTGGGGGTTATGGTACCAACAGTTAAGGAATTAGGGGCCAAAAAGGGGCCAAAAATAAGCATTTTTGTAACTTTCAGACCATAACTTGTGTGTAAGTGTATGGATCTCTCTGACATTGTACCACAAGGTTCCATATCACAAAGGGAAGGCTGTAATTGATTTTGGGGGTAATTGCCTCAAAATTTTAGGAATTAGGGGCCAAAAAAGGGGCAAAAAACAAGCATTTTTCTAGTTTCATGACAATAACTTGTGTGTAAGTGTTTGGATATTTCTGAAATTGTACTACAAGGTTCCATATCACAAAGGGAAAGCTGGAATTGAGTTTGGGGGTAATTGCCCGAAACGTTTAGGAATTGGGGGCCAAAAAGGGGCCAAAAATAAGCATTTTTCTAGTTTCCAGACAATAACTTGTGTTCAAGTGTATGGATCTCTCTGAAATTGTACTGCAAGGTACCATACCACAAAGGGAAGGCTGGAATTGAGTTTGGGGGTGATGAATCATAAGGGGGTTCAAAAAATTTGGGGGGGGGATTTTTTTTTTTTTTTTTTTTTCTTTTTTTCCTTTTTTTTTTTCTTTTAAAATTTTCCATTTTAAGTTGGTTATTTCTGATTTATATTTAAAAGCAAATAATAATGATATGGTAGGAGATACACACCAAACAGGATGTGTAAATTATTATATAATAAGTATTGTGCAATAGCAAGAAATTTTCAATTGCACAGTATTGCACAATAGCAAGAAATCTTCAATTGCACAGTATTGCGCAATAGCAAGAAATCTTCAATTTAACAGTATTGCGCCATAGCAAGAAATATCCAATAGCACAATATTGCGCAATAGCAAGAAATTGTCAATTGTACAGTATTGCGCAATAGCAAGAAATATTCAATTGCACAGTATTGTGCAAAAGAAGATACTTCGTATAAATTGCTTATTTCTTGATCAATTTCAATGGGGTTTTATTCTTGAATTCTTGGGGTTCTTTAATATGCTGAATCTAACCGTGTATTAAGTTTTTGGATTTTTGGGCCCCGTTTTTAAATTGGTCCACATTGAGGTCCAAAGGGTCCAAAATTGAACTTTGTTTGATTTCATCAAAAATTGAATTATTGGGGTTCTTTGATATGCCGAATCTAACCGTGTATTTAGATTTTTAATTTTGGGTCCCGTTTTTTAAATTGGTCTACATTAAGGTCCAAAGGGTCCAAAATTAAACTTAGTTTGATTTTAACAAAAATTGAATTCTTAGGGTTCTTTGATATGCTGAATCTAAACATGTGTTTAGATTTTTGATTATGGGCCCAGTTTTTAAGTTGGTCCAAGTTGGGGTCCAAAATTAAACTTTGTTTGATTTCAACAAAAATTGAATATATGGGGTTCTTTGATATGCTGAATCTAAACATGTATTTAGATTTTAGATTTTTGGCCCAGTTTTCAAGTTGGTCCAAATTGGGGTCCAAAATTAAACTTTGTTTGATTTCAACAAAAATTGAATATATGGGGTTCTTTGATATGCTGAATCTTACCATGTATTTAGATTTTTTATTTGTGGGCCCGCTATCAAATTGGTTCATATTGAGGTCAAAAGGGTCCAAAATTAAACTTTGTTTGATTTCATCAAAAATTGAATTATTGGGGTTCTTTGATATGCCAAATCTTACCGTGTTTTTAGATTTTTAATTTTGGGTCCCGTTTTTTAAATTTGTCTACATTAAGGTCCAAAGGGTCCAAAATTAAACTTAGTTTGATTTTAACAAAAATTGAATTCTTTGGGTACTTTGATATGCTGAATCTAAACATGTGTTTAGATTTTTGATTATGGGACCAGTTTTCAAGTTTGTCCAAGTTGGGGTCCAAAATTAAACTTTGTTTGATTTCAACAAAAATTGAATATATGGGGTTCTTTGATATGCTGAATTTAACCATGTATTTTGATTTTGGACATTGGACCATAATAGGTAAATTAAAAAAATTGAAGTTCTTAGACCACATTCTTTCTGTGTCAGAAACCTATGCTGTGTCAAATATTTAATCACAATCCAAATTCAGAGCTGTATCAAGCTTGAATGTTGTGTCCATACTTGCCCCAACTGTTCAGGGTTCGACCTCTGCGGTCGTATCAAGCTGCGCCCAGCGAAGCATTTTATTCCATTTATAAAGGGGCATAACTCTAGAATGGTGACGCCACCAAAATTCAAACTTGATCTGTGTTTTGTGGTTATAAGCATTGTGTATAAGTTTCATAACATTTGGTTGAGGCAAACTCAAGTTAGAGAACGGAAACCAATTTTGGGATGTATGGACGGACGTACGTACAGACGGACAAGGGTAAAACGTAATGCCCCCACCGCTACGGCGGGGGCATAAAAAGGAGCTGATGAACAAAGTGCTTATAATGGCCCTAAATACCCAAGAAAAATTCAAACATCATTTTCTACAGAAACATCATTTAAATACCAGATTAAGACAAAATTTTGATGTTGCCTTTGACTGATATGGCACACAGTGAATGGCATATAGACAAAATCCTTTAAATTTTTGTACTGCACCTGTGTGCCTGTGCTAGGAGACAAGTTCAGTAGAAATGATCACCATAACCTAGATTTTCTCTTTAACTCTATAAAAGTGGCAAACCCGTATTTGGAGTCCTTTTCATGGGAACGACAGCTGGACAAAATAGATATTTTTCAAGACACAACCTTTTTGTAAGTGATATATGCACCATACAGAAGTCAACTTTGATTCATCTGGGATGAAGGATTTCACAGTAAAACATTCCAAAAAAATTCACTATGTATGCTAAGTGATGGCATAAGCTCACATACCATAGTCAATTTGGACCACTTGATTTACTGCACTGTAAAACTTGTATTGCACCCTTTAACTATACGATCTAATGTGTTACACCTTTGATCAAGGTATTGAAATTTAGTTTAACACTATATTTCAAAATAAACCATATACAACTAATTTTAATGTTCATATAATTTATTCATTTCCTTCTCTTTTTCTTATTACCAAGTCCCGCAAACTCAAAACTTTTCAAAGGATCAGCTTTCCTTTTCTGAAAAAAGAGAAAAATATGTTAAAAGTATATAAACCACAGGCTTCTAGTATGTGATTTAAACATTGAATATGGTTCTCCAATATTTTTACAGAAAAGATATTTCTGTAAACACATCAATGTATCTCCTAACTAACATTGATTTAAAAGTTCTAAATTTTCTGTTAAAATGTTAAACACGACAAGCTGATGGATGGCTGTTTAACATCCAATGGCAAATTAAATACATATTCAGGACAAGAATATGAACTCTTCTATGTACAAAACCGACATGTTAAGCCAGATTTTTAATGTGTTAGTTCACATGGTAATATGCTGCAGGAAGACATGTAACCTTACTAATCACATTAAGCTGAGAAGCAGCAAATAACAATTTTAAAGTGTTTTGTTTGACCAGTCCAGGGGTCAAACCCACAACCTCCCGCACTCAAAGTGAGCACACTAACAAGAAACCACACAGGCGATCGAATGACAAGAAGCATCATTCCTATTACTGACATAAAACCTTATTACTATACCAAATTAAAAGCAAAATCATATACCTGGTATAAAAATCCTCTTGTATACGACTCACTTCATATAGTAATGCAATAATACAAATAAGTTAAAAGCTTGTTGTTGTCCGGCAAATTAAAAGTATTTATCAATCTATAATTTTATATAATATCCAGTTCAGTCTTAAATAAAATCTAAGCTTACCCTAAATTTCTTTTCAGTCTGTGTTGGGCCTCTGTTAAACTGTCTATTTCCTGATCTTGACTGTCTTCCTCTCCCACTCAAGTTTTTGAGTGTCTGTGGAACTATGTAAACAAGATTAATAACCATTGTGTTACCATTAATGCTTGATGTGATGGGGATTTATAGATAACAATGACACCTTAAATTTGTTGTATAGCATGGTATGAGTACTTGAAATTCAATCAAATTTATGTGATTTCTGGAAATGATGTTCAAAAAGATCTCATCAAAGATTAAAATTTTAGTGTTAGTTGTAAAATGAATAGTAAGAAAGCAAAACAAAACCCATCATCTCTAAATTTGCATCATTTGACTGGCTCTTGAAAGACATATCAATTTTTCATCAAAATAATATAGCAGGTAAAGAATTTGCTTTTCTTTCTTTTCGCTTAAAATTCCTTTTTTGTTGTTTCAATAATCAGCATCTTAAACTGAAAACAATTAAAAGTTCCATACAGATGAGATTTGTCTTACATGATCACAAGTCTACATTCAGTAAAAACATTAATTTCATATTTAAATTTATGCACTTTTGATGGGGAAAAAATGTTTGAAATGTATGATAGATTAATTATAATTAGGAGAAATAATTTTTCTTATCACTCCTGATAATCGGTCGACTTCATATCAGACCTTAACAGTGATCTGTTTTGAACTGAGCTTTTCTCCAGTTTGAAGTGGAAATCTAGATAAAAGTTAGACTAGGATCTGTTATACCCTCTATTCTAGACATTACAATTTTCAATATTTGATTTCTGAGCTATGATTTATACAGGTTGTATTCATTAACCTGGTCAGTTGCTTCGCAATTTTCCCATTACAGCTTTGAGACATGAGAAGAACTTATCAGCGTCATCAAAATGTCTGAGAAGCTATCAGCAACGTCACAATGTGTGAGGAGACATTATCAATCGTAAAACTGTCCAAGGGTGGAGGTGTAAACTTAAATATTATCCTTAGAATATAATTTCCCAAGGGACAATATATTAAGTAAAAACTATCCCTACAGATGAAATATAAGTCAATAATGGATATTTTTTACCTTTAAAAGTTGTCCCACTCTAAAAAATGTTATCCGCTACGAAGGATAAAATCAATGTAGATATAATATCCTAAGGATAAAAGTGAGTAGTAAAATAATTTCCCATGGGATAATATTACCAAGAAATTTATTATTTCTAGGGATAATATTTCTACAAAATTATATCCATTTGGGATAATATTTCAGTAAAATTATATCCGATGGGATACAATATCATGTAAATACTATCCTACTGCATCTTGATCAATGAAGTGTTTTAACAAATGGCACATTGCTTTAAAGGAACAAGTAAAATGATAATAGATAATCATTTATGTCAAGATGGATGGAGAGGAGTATAACGTTTTGTACAAATATCTGCTGAATAAAGAATACTCCGAAAACAGCTCTTTAAATGAGAAACGAGCATTACGAAAACGTGCCCAAAGCTTCATAATTAAAGAAAATAAGCTGTACTACAGAATTAATGAAGGTAAGTTTTATATTTATATTTGTATAATCATCAATAATTAACAGTGTTTGTTTTGAAATATGTTTTGAATTAAATAAAAGAGATTTTAAACCCAAAAATAATCAAATATCGATCATGGATCAGAAGATGTAGGTAAAATAGAACTATCCCATAAATAATATCGACAGGTTATAATACATGTAGTATACAGAGATAAAATGTCAGTGATATTTTATCCTAACTGGAATAAATCTTATCATAAATAGTATTCACTAATTAAAGGACAATTTTCTTCGGGGATAACATGTATGTTCAGAACAAAAAGGTGCGTTTGATTTTGTTTCCAGTTATTAGATTACAGTTGTCTCTCTTTTAATACTTATCCTATGTTGATTTTTATTAAAAAAATTATATAAATTTATATTTATACAAAAGATAAAATAATCTTTCATATTATTTTCAGGCAAATGTGTAGCAGCAGATGATCAAAATTTGAGATTGGTAATCCCATCAGACGAAAAATTTCGAATTATATCAGAATGTCACATAAATTGTGGGTCCCACCTTGGAGTCGACAAAACTGTGGTGAAAATACAAGAACGTTATTACTGGAAAGGTATAATAAAAGATATGAAAAGCTTCATAAAAACTTGTGAACAGTGTCAAACAAGTAATAAAAAACAGAAAACAACAAAACCAGAAATGACACCAATACCCATTCCTCCCTCAACATGGAAAAAAATTGCCATTGACTTAATCGGCCCATATAATGACAAAACTGGAAAACCTCTTTCCGATGCAGGATACAAATATGTATTAACCGTCATAGACTTTTTTTCAAATTATACAGAAGCATTTCCTCTCTATACCAAAAACGAAAGTGAAATAGCTGAAAACTTGTATACTTTATTTTGTCGCCATGGAGTACCACTGGAAATGATTAGCGATAATGGTGGTGAATTTAATTCCAAGTTATCTGGTGTGATATATGACATGTATGGATACAAACATATTAAAATAACCCCTTATAATCCACAGGCAAATGGCAAATGTGAAAGGTATAATCAGACTCTTAAAAACATGTTGAACAAAACCCTAAAAGAGGAAACTAATCTTTGGGAACGTTTTCTGCCAAAATGTTTGTTTTCTTACAACACTTCTTAACATTCATCTACTAATTTCTCACCTTTCTATTAATGTATTGGCGAAATCCGATATTACCAAATGAACAATCTATAGGTAATACTGTTAACACTTTTCAGTCATATGAAGAATTAAACCAAGGTCAAATTGAAGATTGTGCTATAAAATTACATGAAATTCAGAAGTTGATTTCGGAGAAAGTCATGGAAAATATCGATCAAGCACAAAAAAGACAGAAGTTGCATTTTGACAATAGACATAATATTCATGAAAATGAGTTTAAAGAAAATGATAATGTACTGGTGAAAAATAAGAAGAGAAAGAAAAGAATGGAAAAACAAAATTGGTTGGGGCCATACAAAATTGATAAAGTTGTAAAAAAGGGCACATACAGGATTAAATGTGTATCAAGTGATGATGTTATAGGCACATTCAAACAGATGAACATTAAGAAATATTATTCTCCCAATGACAATACTCAGACAGTATCAGCTGAAATACATTTTGAACCCAATAAAACACAACCTGTTGTTGATCATCATGATTTAGATAAAAGTTATGAATCAAACAATAATGAAAACCAAGATCAGAATTCGGATATGAACAATAATAACTGTGATGTTCTCGATGGATCCTTGTTCCTAACACAGTCCACTTTTAAAGAAATTGATACAGAGGATGAAATTGAAATCATTGAACAGTATATTCAAGAGCAAAATGATCAAGAAGATGAAACCCAAAATAAGCGTCCGAAAAGAAAGTGTAGAGATAAGAAACGTCAATCTAGTATTTTTGAATATTTTGCACATTAACAGATGAAATAGAAAAATGCATTGAAAATATGTTGTTTGTAACATAAATTTGTGAATGTAATATATATTTCTTTTGTATTTGTGTTATTGTTGAACAATTATTCAAAAAAATAATATAATTTATAGTGAATATTGTTTTATTTCGAGGACAGAATTTTCCAAGCATTAACTGGGTTATTCTTAACCAGATATTCCCAAAATTTCCTACTAAGGACTGTTTTTAATTTTTTCGTAAAATGATCCGGGAGATAAAATGTCTTTGAATATTTTATCCTCTAGGATAGAAAATTGCAACATTTTATATCCCACAACACTAAAGTAATATCCATCATTGTGGATATTTTTTTAGTGTTTGGGATATAATTTGTTGCAATTTTCTATCTTAGAGGATAAAATATTCCAAGACATTTTATCCCCCGGATCATTTTACAGGGGGGATCAAATTAATTGTTAAAAGACCAGAAAAAGGACAATTAACAGATTATCTGGTTTTCTGCGTAAAGATACAGTAGAATATCAGCTGCTCCACGCAATGTCAAGATTTTTTTGCTTGTTTGCTGCGCTCACTCAACAAAAAGGTTAACATTGTGGCTCGCTGCTGATATTTTATGATATCAATGTGCAGAAAACGATATGATCTATATGTATAGAAATTCATGGTAATTGATTACTTACTAAGATAGTCAGGAACATCTTTCAAATGACTAGAACTTTTTACTGTGTGCAAACTTTTATCATGTCTTAGTACTTGTAAATCTCTTGGATTATCTTCAAAATAAGACTGCAAAGAAAATAAAGGAATAATGCATAACAAAATTCTAGCTTTATTGTCTCCTTTTATTCAAAGGCATAAGTAATTCTAAATTTTAAAATAGGTATCATTTTTTGTTTATAATTCTTACTTGAATGTTAATGAGAGTTAAAACACTATAAAACTTTTTAAAAATCACCAAAACATTATGATTATAACTAACTTATAGGATCACAGTGTCTTCCATCCTAGACAAAATGTTTCAGGCTTGACAAAAAGCAAGATATTGTTAAGGTTGTGCACCAACAAAGTAATCAATAACTTTTGTTTCATTTAATCAAATAAAATGTGTCAAATATAATTCCACTGTGTACGGCTAAAAATTATGACCAATTGGTGCACAATCGAAATTATCAGGTGTTCTTCATTTAAATCATTTTTTATAGAGTAAAGTAACTTCTGATAATTTTAACAGGCGCATCAATAGGCAAAACTGTTACCTACCTTTAATTTCTGTGAAGTTAAAATTTCTATTTTAATTTCTTTTAATCTTGCTTCTCTAATTGCAACTTTGGTAACAGCCCTCATAGCATCCTTAAGTATAAAATTAAACATTAGTTTAATTGCATATACTCATATAATTCTCATATATAAAATTGAGAATGTAAATGGGGAATGTGTCAAAGAGACAACAACCCGACTATAGAGCAGACAACAGCCGAAGGCCACCAATGGGTCTTCAATGCAGCGAGAAACTCCAGCACCCAGAGGCGTCCTTCAGCTGGCCCCAAAACAAATATGTATACTAGTTCAGTGATAATGGACGTCATACTAAACTCCAAATTATACACAAAAACCAAAAATTAAAAATGATACAAGAATAACAAAGGCCAGAGGCTCCTGATATATCTGGTTTTGCTCCTCTTTCTAGTAAATACTTTATTCATAGATAATTAAAAAGTAGTTACTTGTTGATTTGGACTTTTGTGAGAGAAAAACAGTTGTGCATTGGTTTGAATAAAGAACTGAATCATCTGAACTTTTTTTTTTTTTAATCCTCTGAACTTTTTTTTTTTTTTAATCCTCTGAACTTAATCTGTATAGCATCCTGTCAGGTGTGAATGTAGGTACATGTAAAAGTGATTAGCTTTCTTTATTAGCCTGATATATCCATTGGTCATTAAAACAGGGGTCTCTGTGGATTATCATAAAATACTGAGTGGCAATTTCATTACCCGAAAAACATGGCCATTGGGATTAAATAACTGATAACCAAAAATTGCTATTTCTTAAAAATGACAGATTTGATAAATTTTTAATGTCAATTTGCCTGAAATTTGGAATTTCATTTTAGTCATTTGTAATTCTAAATCTGTCAAAACTAGCAATGTTACCTTCCTGGACCTTCAGTTTTACATGATATATAAAATTAAATAATAATTGCAAAAAAAAAAACATCATGCATGTTGATTTACTTAATGTATAAATATCAAACCTTTGCTCTGTATTTAAAACCGTCAATCTCCGCCATTTTGAAATTGTATGGCTTAAAAACATTTTCACCATCAGCTGAAACACAATATATTTTTCTATAAACAAGTAAATATTTACAAAATTTATTAAAATACGTTTGTAGTTTATATTGTATTAAAATAGACTATTACTTGTCCTGTACAATGGGTTTTCAGACAAATTATATCTCTTAAGTAATGCATTTGTGTTGGAAATAATGATAAGATGATAATGATGGTGACGACGGATTTGAAAAGTGGCGTCTTAGAGTGATCATATATTTAGTACTAAATACAGAAATTTTGTATATTAAAGGTTCTTTTCTCCGATCTGTATCATCTACCCTGTATCCCATACCCTGTATCGCATAGCTAAACCTGTATCCCATACCCTGTATCGCACCCCTTTTGGAACATCTCAAGATTGTTTCCTCAGCCCCTCATTTGTTATACACTTGAAATTTCAGAAGACGACAATGATGTTAACTCTCTTCATGCTGCCAGAGGGGCACATGTTTCCATATATCTAATTTATGCAAGCACTTATTCATTAACGCCTCTCTTTCAAATAAAACGCCGCTGGTTAAATAGTTTAATTTTTTTCTGAGGCTTCAATAGGTCTCCAATGTTACGTCATCAGGGCATGACATCATATATTGAATGACTTCAAAGTTAGACATAGTATGTCCAGTTGCTGTATTTCCTGGCATGATATGAAATGTAACCACATTGAATAAGCGCCAGCAACAGGGTTAAGCAGCAGTCTGTTAGGGGTCGACCATTTAATTTTGAAGGGGGCCTGGCAAATTTGATGAGGTCAGAATATTTATTTCCAACATAAAGGCGGCCAGATTATTCATGGTCACTCAGCTAGGGCCAGAATATTTATTTTCTGCTCATCCCCAAATTGACACAAATTCTGCCTCTCCTCGCCACCCCTCAGAAACAACTTTTCACCCCCTAAAATAATTTATCTTTTGTAATACAGATCACCTTTTTATAGGATACACATATATATTAATGTGTGATTAGGCAAGATTATTTATTTTCACCTAAATGGGGGCCAGAACAGTTATTTCCAAAATCTGCCAGGTCCTCACCTCAGAATCAAATGGTTGTCCCCTTATATATCATGAATCTGATTCTATTAAAATATATGATAAATAGATCAATACATGGCAAAATCTGTATTGCATGCTGTATCAACACTGGACCAATATCAGCCCTCAGGATTGATATTGGTTCCTTGTGGTGATTCAGCATGTGATACAGATTTTGCAATGTATTATTCTATATATACTATATATTACCAAAAATCAATTATTTTCTAAGAATCAAAGATAAAATGCACTATACATACGAGTTGACTCAGCTAGAGCTTCTTCAACTGCTTCTAATGATTTCATTTCCTTTATATTGACAAATGACAATGCAGTTCCTTGATTATCTCCCCTAGCAGTCCTGAAATATTTGTAAAAGATCTACTGCTTCTAAATGTATTAAATATTTTATATTGTTTACAAGTATAGAAGTAGTCAAATTAAACATACAAAATTTTAAAACCTTATTGTTAGTGACTGACAATATCCAGAAATCATTGAAACAGTAAACTAACTTTTGTTATGGATTATAGAAAAGAAAATAAACTGTTAACACAGAGATATGTCTCGCCGATTTGTTATTTTGATAATGAAAATGTTGAAATTAAAATAACAATACTTTAACATGTAAGTTATGCAAATATTCAAAGTCAATGAACCATGACTAAAGGTACAGGGCTAAACAATCTCCATGGAAATGAGATGTGCCAATGCTTATACAACTGCATACCAAATACCATTCCATAAGTCGTTCCCTTTAAAGAAACATAAACACAAACATTAACTTGTAAACTAAGCAAAAGTTTCAAAGTCAATAGACCATGACTGAAAGGGTGGGGCCAAATAATCTCCATGGAAATGAGATATGCCAGTGTTTATACAACTGCATACCAAATATCATTGACCTACTACTAGTGGTTCCCCATAAACTGACCTAATCACAAACTAATACATGAAAACTAAGCAAAAGTTTCAAAGTCAATAGACCATGACTGTAGGGGCGGGACCAAATAATCTCCATGAAAATGAGATATGCAAATGCTTATACAACTGCATACCAAATATCATTGACTTACCACTAGTGGTTCCCCATAAACTGACCTCATCACAAACTAATACATGAAAACTAAGCAAAAGTTTCAAAGTCAATAAACCATGACTGAAGGGACGGGGCCAAATAATCTCCATGGAAATGAGATATGCAAATGCTTATACAAGTGCATACCAAATATCATTGACCTACCACTAGTGGTTCCCCATAAACTGTCCTAATCACAAACTAATACATGTAACCTAAGCAAAGTTTCAAAGTCAATAAACCAAGACTGAGGGGATGGGGCCAAATAATCTCCATGGTGATGAGATGTCCCAATGCTAGCACAACTGCATACCAAATATCATTGACCTACCACTAGTGGTTCACCATAAACTAGACCTAATCACAAACTAATACATTGTTGACGCCGCCGCCGACGGAAACAGCATACCTATGTCTCGCTTTTTGACTCTGTCAAGGCGAGACAAAAACTGGAAAATGTAGTTATCTCCTCCTTAATGTTTAAGGTGGTACCAAACACCTCGACTAAAATTAATTTGGTTCGTTTAATTTTCATAAAGTTTTGACAAAGATTTACTTTGACCCTTTGACAAAAATATGAAAATTTTAAAAAATTTGAACCACACACTTTATCGGAAAAATTTCTTTGGATATATAGCAGTTTGACAAACACTAATTTTGATCATTTGAGAAACTTAATATTTCCTTAACAATAGAACATGGTTAAAACGTTCAGCTGATTTACAGATTTATCTCACTGTACTGTTATGTACCACCGTAAATGTATTTCAGAACATTCCTGGCCTAATTTAAAATAACATTTCCCCTATAAAGAAGTGGTATACTTTAGAATATGAAGAATTGTTCAAAAAGAAACTTTTTTGGCGACTGGAGATAGCAATTGTATAGAATATGCAGTAAAACATCTAAAAGGGAGACAATTTATGAAATATTTCCAAATGTAGTCATTTTCTATCTGAAATCTAAAAAATCAGCATAGCCATTCTACAACAATGCTTCATTTATAAAAAAACAGGGTTTTTTTTCTAATTGTGCTTTGAAAAAAGAAATAGGACTTGATTTTTAGGAAAAACCAATATAAAGATTCAGCTTCCGTTATATTTTTTAGTGCTAATGGCAGATCTCTGATGGTCTCTGTTGAATTTTGTCTAAATTTGGGGTAATTAGAAGCTTGACATGTTTTATGAACATTGTCTATCATTGAAGACAATAAGCTAACCTCTGGATGTCTTTTTGGTTATGCGTTGTTGTTGGTTTGCTAACTCATTGACATATACCCCTTATCTCATTTATACTGTTGGGTGAAACAATGACAAACATTATGCATACCTTCCTACTCTGTGAATGTATGTATCTACCGTTGATGGAAAATCAAAGTTAATAACATTCGACACATTCTGAAAGTCTATACCTCTGGAAACACCATATTCTTTATCTCTCTTTATTTGTCTAAAAGTATATTTACTTTATGATTAGTATGTGCAATAAAAACAGTACACGGTAGAGTACAAGAGAGAAGGGAGTATGAGGAAAAGAACTTTTTCCCCTATTTTGTCTCCATCTTTTGTATCTATCTAAAAAAAGTCTAACATCGAATTGTAAAACTTACAATTAAATTTCAAATATGAAATATTTAAACTTTGATACCACTAGAAAATATTTCCATCAGACAGAGATTTTCCACCTCAAAATCTTAGTATACATAAGGAAGCTAGATTTTCAAAATATCAACTTAAACACAAAATTTCAAATAAATTAATAAAAAACTCCAAGTCAATTTCAGTCCTGGTTAATTTTGAAGTTTCACTGTCTTTAAAAAAAGAGTCTGAACTGTTCTGTACATCAGAAACAGTGTTTTTCCCATAATGCATACCATTTTTCAATTGGTCTTTCGTAAAATATCACAGTTACAACACTCTGGACTATAAACATGAACCAAAACATGAGACATGAACATGATATGTTGTTAATGGTGACTAAAATGTTGCTAAATTGACTTGTACTATTAATACAATGAAGCAATGAAATACAATAGGTTACTGGGAAATATACAGAAATGCAAAACTGAGCAAAGTCACTCAATCTAATAACCCCAATCACAGTAGTACCATAAAATATGATTTTTTCATTTGTTGCAGGGCATAAAGTTATGAATTCTTTTTGGCTTTTATTTTATGAAATACAAAACTTGTTTTACTTGATTAAACAAGGATGTCCAATGCAGGTTACTGCTAGCTATAATATTTATTAAAGTTTTCCATACTGTGACAAACTTATACTTACTTATGTTTCTTTTTCGTAGGTTCATTTGGATTGGTTTTAGGATTCATCAGTAATGTTTCATCTGAGGCTATTATATAATCATACAATCCTTCATTATACTGTGTCACAATATGGCATCTGAAAAATAACAATACGGGTAGCATTGAATGATCTTTAGAGTATCAAATCATATTACAGTTAAACTATTCGAGTGTGTACATCATGCATAAAAGTTATGTTTGCTTGTTTGTTAAGTGAACCATGAAGTCTTTAGCAGCTATTGTAAATATAAAAACATTACAGTAAAACAGGTTTTTTAGTCACCCTTTTGTTACCCATCCCTTGATTTGATTGGATAGTAATAACTACTGATTCTCTTTCCATTGGTGGTAAACAAAGGTAGTATTGATTTTATGGTTCACCCAACAAACATGCAAACTTGACTTCATTGTTCTTGTAAAATGCTGTAAATTGGTCACTGCATTAACAGCAAGACTAATGAGGTATCTTATACAATTAAGACTTTTCTACAAAATGAAGGTGGTAAAACTTCTTTAATCTCATGCTAATCATAACTCTAAAGGAACACTCAGATAAATCACAGTAATAAATCTAAGGTCTATTTACGGCTAACATCAGTCAAATAGGTAAAAAGGATTATTTATTATATACTTAGTAGTAAATACAGGTATACTGTTATGTGTAATACAATCAATGAAAATCATGCTGTATCAACCATCCATGATGATATCAATATCAGTCACGGTTACATAAGCTTTACCAAACCCCTACAACTCTATGACGTCACGTCATCGATTATCAGTCACGCTTTTAAAGGCATTTTCAAACCACTAATCTGTATTACATCAACTTACGGGGGAAACATCTACTTGAAGTATATAATAAAGTGTATATGATATGGTTTTTTCAATATCACACCCTGTATCAACCCTCAACCAATATAATCCCTCGAGCAGAGCTCTTGGGATTATATTCGTGTCTCTGGTTGATACGGATGTGATATTGAAAAAGCCATATGATATTCTCTATATATACACACCCAGATAATGTGTTAAAGGACAATGACTTTTTTTATTATTTTTGCAGTGTTGATCTTTATAAGTGAATGCAATAAGTGTCATAACACCATAACTTTCCTAATATATATACACACTATTTGATACTACTGACATGTTAATACTGGTATACAAATGCTTTTTTTCATAAACAATCTTATCTATAAATATTATGTAGTTAAAATTACCTTGAACTAACAGGAAGTTCTGAATTCAGCACACAACTTTTTATACCAAACTGTTCCAAAAATAATTTTAATCTGAAAAAAATATAAACCACTTACAATAAATGACATAATCTTCTTAATTTCAATATTAAGGTGTTTTTTATTCATCCAAGATTTTGGCCTTTTTTTCAACATACTTTAATGCAAGAAGCTCTTTACTTAACTTGTTTTTTTAAGCATATTCAATTTTCTCCAAGCAAGAGATTATTTTTTTTATCACTGTATAAAGATAACTTTATGTAATGCTCTTCACTACAAAAATGCCCACTCTTTGATCCCTTTTAAAGAAAACCAGATATGACCCATGTTCAAACTGAAAGATAATTATACATATAACTCAAAAAACATAGAAAATAACACTGTTTAACATATTAGGTATCAGAATTCAAGTTTATTTTAAGACTTAAGTAAACTCTTTTGATACATGTGATGTTGCAATAATGGCCAGTATATCACAAACTTCTGTTGGTTAGCATTCCACACTTCAAAATATACACTGTCAGTAAAATAGAAACTGTATCCAAGTATGATTTAATCATTTTCAATAAAACCTTGTGCCCTTGGACACCCAGTGGTTTTGTGGATTTTCTGAAATGCTTACAAAGATTGAAAAAATGTCCAGCTTTCTTTACATTTTTTGGGAGATGTCTTCTTTCATCCAATTTCTGAAACAAGAGGTTGCACTTCTGTATATATAGACAATGCAATTTCCCATAGGAACTCCTTTTACGGCTAAAACTGTGCCACTTTTACTATGAAGTTTCATAAAAAATTATATCCTAGAATGGAAACTTCATATGCACTACTATTTTTTTCAAAGGTCAAAACATAGGGCTGTGTGGCATATTTTCAACATTTATATGCCCCGAACTTCTAAGAGTTTAAACTTATACTAAAATTCTGTACTATCCCTCCCTTCACTTTGGGTCTTCCTCAGAATTCATTTTAGCCGCTATCCATGAGTATTTATACTGGTAACATTCCCTAGTTATGTCTCTATGAGATGAAGTATAGAGATCATATCTGGGAACCAGTACGTAAACAAAACAAAATATCTATGAATATTATATATCTCCCCAAAAGAGGCATGGTTTGTGAAACAGCTGTATTTACAAAGTGCAACCTAGAACTATTCATTAATACAACACTAAATGCTAGATATCACAGTGAAACCTGTCTTAACCAACTCCAGTGTAATTGGTTACTCAATACTGGACTATTGTTTCAGGATTTACAATGAGTATTCTGTTTTAGTTGTAAAAGCAAATACTTGTCTAAATCTTTATTCCTGACTGAGTTCAGTTAAGACTGATTTTACTGTATTTCAATATGATAGTAGGGATACTTACTTATAACAACGATTAACATTATTTACAAATATAATAGACTTTCCTCGTACTAGTCCCAACTTTAACAAGGCACATATCAATGTAAACTTATCTTCTTCTTCACATCTACAAAAAGAAAGTTTTTTCTAATAAATGCATTTGCAATTAATTGATTCCAACATATTTGAGGAATGATGTAAAATCAATATTCAACAGGTGCGTTTTTCCTCATTTCCTCAAATCCCACAAGCGAAAATAACAGCATTAATCATAATCTTTTCTAGAAAAATATAATGGCTTAAAATGCAACTAAAACTAGAAGTTGAATAGATATGGATCCAATATGAACAGCTTTTCTTAACAACTATGACATACATTTTTCAGCCAATAAACGAAAACATCCCGAAACTGTCCAGTAAATAAAAGATCAACATGGCTTTAATAAAATTAAAGACTATTTGCTTTTTTGTAACAGAAACAAATCTAATAGAAATAATCTACAATTTGGTGTTGTATATATGCCCTTGCAAAGGTTCATAGTAAATTTGTTAAAAAATATGCAAATGTAGATAATGGTTCTTTACTTAAAGAGAAAATTGGTTTCATAAGAAATATTCACTTTACAATTCCATAAGGTCGAAAAAATTTCATTTCTATGTTAAGTGTCAACATTTTCTTCAAAAGGAGGTACGAAGCAAACCTATGCCCCATTTACTCCTAACACAGAATTAAATTGCTCTGGCCTTACTTACTTTATATGATACTGTGTCAGCTGTGAAGATTCAGGTAACTGTGATTCTTCTAACTTCAAAATTACCTGCAAAAATTTCATTGTTAACTAAAGCAAACACCAAACAAGTGTCACGAAATATGTTAACCTCTTAAAGCTGTTATCCTGATGCTAGCAATTTAAAAGTGTGGTTGGCTTGCTTGCTTTGTTTGTATAAATGTTTGCTCAAGCATTGTAATTAAGATTGACATCTGCAATCAATAGATAGGCGGGACTTCACCTTGTTCAAATTATACATAACACCCAATAACATTTAAGTATCAATACTGTATACAAGCTGAAGCCCCACCTATCTATTGATTGCAGATGCCAATCTTAATTACAATGCTTGAGCAAACATTTATACAAACAAAGCAAGCAAGCCAACCAAACCTTTAAACTACAAGCATTAGGATAACAGCTTTAATGTATATTTTTGTAAGCCTGTGTTGTTATGTAACTGTCTCACTGATTTTAATCCAACGTTTCCTTTTATTCATACTGAAATTCTATCTAGGATAAATATAACATTTTAATAGGTAGAATGTTATAGTTCTATCAAGCTTTTTCTAGAAATAATGGATACAGCATCAAGCAAGCATACAGAAACAAATGTTTTTATAAGTTTCATGTTTGATTGTATTTACAGTGCTTATTCAGTAGGCTTTGGCCTATTACTATATCAATTGCTCAAATAGTTTACCAAATTGCAGTTTGAATTCATCAATACAAACTGTTCAACTGGTAAAATATTTCAAGTAATTGCTTCAGTGATAGGTTGTTAGTGTGAAGTGAGTGCAGTGATAAAATAGTTTTACTTACCATTAGATATCAGTTAATTTTCGTCTATGTCATGAAATTCAAATAAAATTAAAGAACAGAGTTCCAATGTCCCACGTGTTGCACATATTTTATCTATCCAAGGTACAAGGGCAGTAACTTAAAAAGGCACTTTTTTTTTTATCTTTAAAACTTTTTATTAATATATTAAGAGAAATGAAGGCTTCAGAGAAAATGCAATGTGACTTTCATTATAATTTATATTTCCAAGGGGTATTCCTCTATAAAAATATTTGATCAGAACTTATTTTCGAAAGTGTCAAAGACATTGCTGATATAAACTTATGATATAAGTTCCATAAAATTCTGGCAAGAATTGAACACATGAGAGCGATAACATTGCAATTTTCCATATAATCAATATTTTCAACTCTTTTAAAAATAATTGATCAGCACTGATTTTTGAACTCTTCAAGTACATTGATGATATAAACCTATAATATAAATTTCATAATAAAATGCTTCGCTGGGCGCAGCTTGATACGACCGCAGAGGTCGAACCCTGAACAGTTGGGGCAAGTATGGACACAACATTCAAGCTTGATACAGCTCTGAATTTGGATTGTGATTAAATATTTGACACAGCATAGGTTTCTGACACAGAAAGAATGTGGTCTAAGAATTTCAATTTTTTTAATTTACCTATTATGGTCCAATGTCCAAAATCAAAATACATGGTTAGATTCAGCATATCAAAGAACCCCATATATTCAATTTTTGTTGAAATCAAACAAAGTTTAATTTTGGACCCCAACTTGGACAAACTTGAAAACTGGTCCCATAATCAAAAATCTAAACACATGTTTAGATTCAGCATATCAAAGAACCCCAAGAATTCAATTTTTGTTAAAATCAAACTAAGTTTAATTTTGGACCCTTTGGACCTTAATGTAGACCAATTTAAAAACGGGACCCAAAATCAAAAATCTAAATACACGGTTAGATTTGGCATATCAAAGAACCCCAATAGTTCGATTTTTGATGAAATCAAACAAAGTTTAATTTTGGACCCTTTTGACCTCAATATGAACCAATTTGATAGCGGGTCCACAAATAAAAAATCTAAATACATGGTTAGATTCAGCATATCAAAGAACCCCAAGAATTCAATTTTTGATGAAATCAAACAAAGTTTAATTTTGACCTCAATGTGGACAAAGTTGATAACGGGCCCAAAAATCAAAAATCTAAATATATGGTTAGATTCAGCATATCAAAGAACCCCATATATTCAACTTTTGTTGAAATCAAACAAAGTTTAATTTTGGACCCCGATTTGGACCAACTTGAAAACTGGGCCCATAATCAAAAATCTAAATACATGTTTAGATTCAGCGTATCAAAGAACCCTAAAAATTCAATTTTTGTTAAAATCAAACTAAGTTTAATTTTGGACCCTTTTGACCTTAATGTAGACCAATTTGAAAACGGAACCAAAAATTAAGAATCTAAATACATTGTTAGATTCGGCATATCAAAGAACCCCAATAATTCAATTTTTGATGAAATCAAACAAAGTTCAATTTTGGACCCTTTGGACCTCAATGTGGACCAATTTAAAAACGGGGGCCCAAAATCCAAAAACTTAATACACGGTTAGATTCAGCATATTAAAGAACCCCAAGAATTCAAGAATAAAACCCCATTGAAATTGATCGAGAAATAAGCAATTTATACGAAGTATCTTCTTTTGCACAATACTGTGCAATTAAATATTTCTTGCTATTGCGCAATACTGTACAATTGACAATTTCTTGCTATTGCACAATATTGTGCTATTGGATATTTCTTGCTATTGCGCAATACTGTGCAATTGAAGATTTCTTGCTATTGCGCAATACTGTGCAATTGAAGATTTCTTGCAATTGTGCAATACTGTGCAATTGAAAATTTCTTGCTATTGCACAATACTTATTATATAATAATTTACACATCCTGTTTGGTGAGTATCTCCTACCATATCATCATTATTTGCTTTTAAATATTAATCAGAAATAACCAACTTAAAATGGAAAATTTTAAAAGAAAAAAAAAAGGAAAAAAAGAAAAAAAAAGAAAAAAAAAAAATCCCCCCCCCAAATTTTTTGAACCCCCTTATGATTCATCACCCCCAAACTCAATCCCAGCCTTCCCTTTGTGGTATGGTACCTTGCAGTACAATTTCAGAGAGATCCATACACTTGAACACAAGTTATTGTCTGGAAACTAGAAAAATGCTTATTTTTGGCCCCTTTTTGGCCCCCAATTCCTAAACGTTTCGGGCAATTACCCACAAACTCAATTCCAGCTTTCCCTTTGTGATATGGAACCTTGTAGTACAATTTCAGAAATATCCAAACACTTACACACAAGTTATTGTCATGAAACTAGAAAAATGCTTGTTTTTTGCCCCTTTTTTGGCCCCTAATTCCTAAAATTTTGAGGCAATTACCCCAAAAATCAATTACAGCCTTCCCTTTGTGATATGGAACCTTGTGGTACAATGTCAGAGAGATCCATACACTTACACACAAGTTATTGTCTGGAAGTTACAAAAATGCTTATTTTTGGCCCCTTTTTGGCCCCTAATTCCTTAACTGTTGGTACCATAACCCCCAAAATCAATCCCAACCTTCCTTTCGTGGTATTGAACCTTATGGTAAAATTTCATGGAGATCCAATCACTTAAACTAAAGTTAGAGTGCGAAAACCAATGTGTCTTCGGACGACGCCAGACGACGCCGACGACGACGACGCCAACGTCATACCAATATACGACCAAAAAATTTTCAATTTTTGCGGTCGTATAAAAATCTGGCAAAAATTGTACACATTAGAGCGCTCATAAGGCAATTTTCCATATAATTAATATTTCCAAGGGGCATAACTCTTTTAAAAGTTATTGATCTGCATTGATTTTCAAAGTTGTCCAAGTCATTGCGAATATAAACCTATGATTTAAGTTTCATAAAATTCTGGCAAGAATTGTACATATGAGAGCACTAACAATGCAATTCTCCCTATAATTTATTTTTCCAAGGGGCATAACTCTTTTAAAAATGATTGATCGGCACTGATTTTCAAACTCGTCCAAGACATTGCTTATATAAACCTATGATATAAGTTTCATAAAATTCTGGCAAGAATTCAAAACACACGAGAGCGCTAACGAGGCAATTTTCCATAAAATGAATGTATCCAAGGGGCATAACTCTTTTAAAAATAATTGATCGGTACTGATTTTGAAACTCGTCCAAGACATTGCTAATATAAACCTATGATATAAGTTTCATAAAAATCTGGCAAGAATTGTACACGTGAGAGTGCAAACAAGACCAGACTGACAGACGCCCAGTATTTCCATGTCCCCAGCAATGCATTACGAGGGGGACAATAATGCATTTGTATAACATGAGGCAATGCTTTAAAAAGGTCTAACTTTGACATGAAAACTTCCATCCTAAATAAATTTCATAAATAATAATTCAAAACATTCTTTTTTTGGTCAATAATTAAAAGCTTTGTTTTCTAACAGGAAGTTGTTGTGTAATTGTAATTTGGATATTTTTTTGAAACCAATTAGTCATCTGCTAATAATAAAAGGAAATAATTCAAATTATAATCAGCAAAATTGTGTTCTGTCAACTATCAACTTTCTTCATATTGACATTTTATAAGTAATTTGTTCTAAAGATTGTTTCCATGATTATTAAACTATTATCCTCTGTTAAAAGAACACTGAAATCTAATTTTAAGATGATTAAAATTTTGAAAAAAACCTGTTTAAAACATATTATGACACATTCAAAGTTGCATAAATCATAGATTCCTCTGTAAATTAAGAGGGTATCACCAGCCCAGTAGTCAGCAATTCTGTGTTGACAAGAATTATAATTCATATGGTCAAAATTATAAATTAACTGTTTTGCAAAAATTTGAATTGTTCAAAAGAAATAAGAATTTTCTACACGTGAGGATTAGATTACTTATAAACAGTACTTTGCAAAAGCTTTTGGGATTTTGTTTCCTCAATTCACTTCAATTTCGTACTGAATTTGGCATTTCAATTTTTTTATTTGAGCTTCACTAATGAGTCTTCTGTAGACAAAACTTGTGTCTGCCGTACAAAATCATCAGCCTGGCATCTTTGATTAAATTTTTTTTTACAATGACTGAATAAAAATTATTTCCCTTTCATACCAGTAGATCAGTAATTTTTATAGAAAACATATCCAAGTTACAATTACACAATAACTTCCTGTTAGAAAACAAAACAATAAATTATTGACTAACCAAACAATTGTAAAACCTAATTATTTATGAAATGTCATTAGGATAGAAGTTTTCATATCAAAGTCAGGCCTTTTTAAACCAGTGCCTCATATAATAGTAGGTGATCATTTTATTTCATTTTTATTACACAGACATTAAATAACTGAAGTTGAATAGTAAATATAATTTTTATTTCACAGCACTCACTTCATACTAACAACCTATCACTGAAGCAATTAGCTAAAATATTTAACCTGTTGATCAGTTTGTGGAGATGAATTCAAACTGCAGTTTGGTAGACTATAGTGATAGGCCAAAGCCTTCAGGATAAGCACTATAACTGTTTTAATGTTCACTGTAGTAATAGTATAGTATTTGATTTAATTTTTGTATAGAGAATATATTTTTATGGAAATCAATGAACCAGCATAATTATATTTAAACTTAAGAAGATATTAGAAAGGTGAAAAGACATTCGAACATGAAATATTGTGGACATTGACCAGCTTTTTATGTGACATTTTTTACATACAAAAATAAGTTCTGCATACAATTTGAGAACAATTTTCTTGACTGAAGAGTACATTTTAATTGAAAGCAATGAAAGTCCAATGCTTTAGTTTAAGAAATCAAAGCTTAAGAGTTAGAAACAGGAAGCTTTGTGACATAAAAAAATATTATGTGACTTACTGCATTATGAAGTACTAATTTCTTCAAACTTAATACATCATCACTGAGTGTAGCCGACATAAGGAAAGCTTGATATATCTTTGGCAGTTGTCTAAAATACAAATATTGTTCATTTTTATATCATTCAGACTTCTGCAGTGCTCCATCCTCATAAATTGCATTGCATAGTCATTGGAAAATTATGCTTTGTCCAATAAGAAACAGATACAACATTTACATTCCACATTTTTAATCAGTCTTTGAAAAAATATCTTATGTGCCAACCAATCTTAAAGGACATGCAAAGCGATTTTTGCAAAATGATCCCTTCATTTATTGAACAAATACACCTTTTTTCTTCCATGTACTTTATAAATCATTACTAAAATGGCGTGGATGTACCACAATATTGAAGTTTTACATCTCTATTTTCTGTATTCCAAAACAAAGTATACAAGAAAACTTTTAAAAAGTACTGCTCCACAGATTGTTTTACCATTCAGACTATGTGGAAAATAGAAAGAACCTAACATAACCTGTTGTTTAAAACTGTGAGCAAAAGAGGGTAAAAATTCAAATTTGTCTTTACAAATAAGATTTGAAACATGCCTTTTCCAAAATATTTGGATGATGATCTGCTGTAAACTATTATTAATTCAACAGTGTGTAGTACAGATGTAGATTCAGGATTTGAAAAAGGGGGTCCCTCAGGCAACGTTTGGAACGGAACAGGTAAAAAGGTCTGCATTAACCATAAATGTAGCTCCATAAGGGGGTACCTTATCCACATCTGTCGTATCAAAGTCTCCAAAAAGGCATTGATGAGGGTTTTGGAATAAAACACTCAAAAATTGACAAGAATGAAAAATTTACTTTATGATAGCTTTAACATCATCCTCATAGCCAAAAGAGAAAACCAGATCTGCTTCATCTATAACAAGCATCTCCAAGGTGTCTTTGATACTGAGGTTACCAGCCTGTATGTGTGCCAAGATACGTGTAGGTGTCCCAACAACTATATCTGGTTTCTCCATCAATTTGGGTCTGTAAAAATGAAAATACATAAATCTTACATCAATCTGAATGTGAATAAGTTTATATGTTGTCCAATATTTCTTTACAGAGTCAGCAAAACAACAGATAAAATGGTTCAACTTTACCATTATGTATGCTAAGATACATGTAATCATCTTTTAACAGCATTGGGTTGTTCTACCAAATATGACTCTATCAGGAATGCTTACCATTTCAGAGTAAAAAAGAGTTCTCTGGGTTTTTTCAGGGTTTGTGTTGCTTAATCTTTAGTTTTTCTATGCAGCATTTTGTGGTCTAATGTTTGTCTTTTCATCTTTTTTCTTCTAGACATGGTGTTGTCTGTCTTTTTTCAATGTATGATTTTTTATTACCTTTTTGGTATTTTCATGAGAAAAAAAGGCAACCAATTCAACACCCTACATAAATGTAATCACCGTGATGAAACTTATTTGGTTGACAGCCGGGCATGGTGTTCAATGGACAAATAATACTTATTTCCATATATTTTGTCTTTTCCTTCACATACATGTTGTTTGAGCTCAATTACTTTGTGATGGTTGTTTCTTTGATAAATATGATCACTATTGTTTGTGATGTTACCTTTGTGTAAGCAGTGGAACTTTAGGTGAAACATCAACACACTTTATTTCTCTGGAACAGCATGATGTCAATTCCTGAAAAAGAAGTAGCAATCATATACTAATGCAATATTTCTATATCATAATAAAATAAATTCATATGTACCTACTTTAAATAAAATTCTATGATTACAAAATTTATATAATACATGTTTTCATATATACACAAATACACTACTGTAATTTCTATTCTAATGCATTACATGAAACTAATTTTTATGTTATAAGCAAGACCTTCTGTAGGTAAAAATTAAGGTAGGGCTTTTATAAAAAGAAATGTTATACATTTTTTATTCAATCTTAGAGTACAATTTACTTGAACACAGGTTAAGCTCTGTAATGTTGATTTACCAAGAACGCCCAAGGAACCAAAATTGTACAAAAGTAATTAAATACTCCCTCCCCCCTTTTTTTTTAAACAATTTTTTTGTTAGGTTGTGAGATTTTGAACCCTGCATCAAATCTAATCTCAATGGACTAGGATTGTCAGTTTTCCTGCCGAAGGTTGGTGGTTCTCTCCAGCTTCCTCAAACAATAAAAGCAGACGGCCACGAAATTGCCAATGGTGCTGAAAGTGGCGTTAAACACCAATGAGTCAATTTTAGTGTGCTACAAATGAGTTTTAAATATCTTTGTGATATACATGTATGTACACTAATGTTACATGTAACTGTATAAATACAATATACAAACCATAAGATTTTTATATGCTTGGTTACATAGTTCCTTTGAAGGTGTCAGGAAAAGAGCCTTTGTACACTGTTCTTTACTGGTCTTAAAAAAGTAATTGAGAAAATGTACTGTCTGCAAAACTATTTGTAATACATATCAATATCTAAAATAAGCTTGTAACACAATATATTTTGATTTTTTTTTTTTTTTATGTCCTTTGTCAGCTATGGTTATAGCTTAATTTATCAATGACTAAAATATGGTACCGGTAATGAATAAATCACCTTTACAGACAATGATTTATATTTTTAAATATATACTTACAGTATTTGATCTATTTTTCAGTTCAAGAGAATGCAAAATGTTTGTGTTCCATGCTACATATGTAGTGTCCAATCAGTTTGCAATTCAAAGTAAAATATGAAATATTCATTGTATGTATTGTTATGCACACAATTTCAGAGTAAATCTTACTCCGTAACATTTGTATATCAAAAATATTTGTCTAGTGTCAGTTTCATTACTTGATTTGCTTCAGATTTGAACCTGTGACATGTTTGTAATAAATTTATAGATTTCAAAGTAGTATCATTTCTTACCTGTTTAGACTGTAATATTTTCTGCACAACAGGAATAGAGAATGCAGCTGTTTTACCGGAACCAGTCCGAGCCCTTGCCAAAATGTCTTTTCCTTCTAAAGCCAGAGGGATTGCTTTTTCCTGAATTGGTGTTGGTGTTTCCCAGCCTAAATTTGCTATTGCCTTTAAACATGAAATATAAATAAAATAAAATATTAACCTATTGGTAAACAATGGGATATCCTTCTACACTCTATCTGCTGTTGCACAGTGCGTTCTTCATAGAAGATTTCATACAACAATGTCATAAACAGTACAGGAAGACACTTATAATCTTGTGCCAAACCAAGATCAAACAGTACAGAAGTTCAATGTAGAAAAAAGGAAACATTTCTGTCTTGCTTTATCTATAAATTAGGGTATTGATGTTTTTTCCTAAACATACCCATTTCCAGTGATTGTAAACTTAATCAATAAGTCTATCCATTCAAAAAGAATGATTTGAAGGACAAACCCTAAAATTGTATCTTTCTATGATTACATGTATCTTACTGCAAAATGCTGGATGCAAGAATCAATTTTTTATTGTATTCCTGTAGCTGGAATCATATACTTTCCAAACAAATTAAATTCTCTCCCTTACTATTCGATCATGTAAATCATTTTTCTTCCTCTTTAGTTTTTAATATGAATATGTGCATTTCATAAAATTTTGTATGTCTTCAATATAAAAGCCTGAGAAAAGTGATTAAAAGAAAAATTATATATATAAACTTTTATGCAGTTTTTGGACTTTCTAAGATAAGGGCTAAAATATAATAAAGCTTGTTTGGCCTTCCTTGACCAACCCAAAACATTTTATTGCAATAATAATAAAAGTAAAAGAACAGAGTTCCAATGTCCCCCGCGATGCACATATTTTATATTTCCAAGGGGCATAACTCTTTAAAAAAAAAGTTGATCGTCCACAATTATAGAACTTGTCTGAGATATTGCTGATATTAACCTATAGAAAATAATAAGTTTTATAAAAATCTGGCTAGAATTGTACCTATGAGAGCGCTAACGAGGCCATTTTCCATAAATTTAATATTTCCAAGGGACATAACTCTTTTTAAAAAAGTCGATCAGCTGCCATTAAAGAACTTGTCTAAGATATTGCTTATATTAAGCTATAGTTTAAGTTTTATAAAAATCTGGCAAGAATTGTACCCATGAGAGTGCTATCGAGGCCATTTTCCATAAATTTAAAATATCCAAGGGACATAACTCTTTTAAAAAAAGTCTGAATTCAAACAAAGTTTAATTTTGGACCCTATGGACCTTAATATGGACTAATTTGAAAACAGGACCCAAAATTAAAAATCTGAATGCACAGTTGGATTTAGTTTGTCATAGTTCCACAAGAATTCAGTTTTTGATGAAATCAAACAAAGTCTAATTTTGGACCCTTTGGACCTCAATGTAGACCTATTTAAAAATGTCCAAATATCCCATATAATAATACATGGTAAAAATCTCAAACAATTCAAGACTTTAAATTAATCCTCATTGAATTGGTTAAAAGATTTGTATTTATTTTCAAATGAAGATTTCTTGCTGTTGAGCAATACTTTGCTGTTGCGCAATACTTTGCTGTTGCGCAATACTTAGTAAATCTGTTTACAAACTAAATAATATAATTTACACACCCTGTTTGGTGTGTATCTCCTGCCATATCAGTATTTGTTGTTTCTTTATATAGATCAGAAATAATTTATGTTAGAACCAGCTTAGCCAGTACTAGAAAAGTCTTGTTTTTGGCCCCTATTTGGCCTCTGGTTTCTTAATGATTAAAGCCACAACCCACAAAATCGACCCAAACCTTCTGTGTGTGGTATGGAACTTTGTGGTACAATTTCATTGAGATCCATGGACTAATACTTAAGTATTTGTCCGGAAACCAGAAAAACATTGTTCCTCCTCCCCCTTTTTGCCCTTTATTCCTAAACGGTTTGAGCCATAACCCCCAAAGTCAAACCCAACCTTCCCTTTGTGGAATGGAACCTTGTGGTACAATTTCATAGAGATCCATAGACTAATACTCAGGTTTACGTAATTGATCATTAACCAGAAAAACTTTTTTCCCCCCTTTTTTTGCCCCTAATTCCAGAACGGTTTGGGCCATAACCCCTAAAGTCAATCCCAACCTTCCCTTTGTGGTATGGAACCTTGTGGTACAATTTCATAGAGATCCATACACTTATACAAGTTATTGTCCGGAAACAAGAAAAATGCCTTTTTTGGCCCTTTTTTTACCCCTAATTCCTAAACAGTTGTGACCACATTAACCCCCAAAATCAATCCCAACCTTCATTTCGCACTATTGAACCTTGAGGTTAAATTTCATAGAGATCCATTCACTTATACTAAAGGTATTGTCCAGAAACCAAATGTCTTCGGCGAGGACAACAACATGATAGCAATATACAAACGCAAATTTTTTGCGGTCATATAAAAAATGCCAATCTTTGCTGAATATGCAAAAAGAAAAATTGGAAAAATCATGTACATACAAAATCTAAAGATCTTTCGGATCACCAATTTTCAGAGTGTTCTTTAATATCCTTACCATGTTACAATTTCCCAAAGTATACTTATTTTTTCACACCTAAGTTATCGAGCACACCGTGTCTGGTCTTGTCACATGTACATTCAATAGAGAAATATTGTCTTTTCGTGAATATAAAAATTTAAAAGTCTGTATGTGCAGGTTAAGAAATGAAAGATAACTATTCTTATAAAGTAGGTATCCTTCTACTATTTTTTATACAATTATAAGAAAAGGTTGTCTCGATTTTTGTACATGTATTTGCAGTCTTCTCAATCTATTCACATTCAATGTTTACATCGAGATAAGTTCCATTTGAATTTGCTTATTAACTTATTTTCAAAAGTGCCAATCTGTGCTGTACAGTACAAATTTCGCGAAAGGCTTCCCAAACTCCGAACACCAAGTTTTTTCTTGGTGTGACACCAGGAAACTCCGACATCCCTCCCTAAATTCTCGGAGAAATTTGGGAGTATTCCCTCCGACTTCCGCGTAAATTCGCTACCTTTTGTTTATTGTATTAGCGACATCTCTCCCAGTCCGGTGTGATGCGGTGTCACACCAGGTAATTAATTGCCCTAATCCTTCTGATCTATACCGGCACGCGACAGTCAAGGTATGTGAGATTACATATGTAATTAAACAATTGTATTTCCTGTCTATTGATAATCAGGTTATATTTCTGATTGCTTGAAACAAATAAAAGATTTAAAAGCAAAACGTTGTTGTTAATTCTTTCAATTACACTGTACATTTAAAAATAGTTTTTATTAAAAAAAAACTATATTTGATTTTTACCTCGTTTTTTTTTCTGGTCAGTAAATTAATATTTAATTTACAAAAGAGATATACTTGTGTAAAAATAAACGGAGACTTACGCTGAATAAATGTGGGCAGTTTAAAGGAAAATTACATGTCTCAAAGTTTTGTATACAAGTAAAAAAGAAAATATTATTCACTATTCGTTATGCTAATAAGTCCACGCCATTTTCATTTTACGATTACATAATTGCTTGAAACAAATTAAAGATTTAAAAGCAGAATGTTGTTGTTAATTCTTTCAATTGCATTAAAGTTTTATAACAAAAACTATACTTGATTTTGACCTTGTTTAAGGTTCATCATAACAAATGGACAAAAATGGCTGTATTTTCACCTCAAACACTACTCTGAGTACAGACTTACCTGTCCAGTTGGAAAAGTTTTAAGGCCTGGTATCCACTAGATATATAAAATTTAAGTGCATTTTGTGTTTCAGAAAGATAAAATCTTTTTTGGATTTTGATGGGCATTTTTTTTCGTTCAGGCAGAAGGTGTAAAAATAAACTAAGTTGGGATACAACTTTGAGATGCTCCCTCTCAGGTAGAAACTGTATTGTATTGTATTGATTGTCCTTGATTGACATGGACAATAGGCAGACACTAGGTATCTACACATTTATAGGTGAGTTAAAGGGTTTAACTGAGTGGACAGTATCAAAGCAATTCAGGTGTTTGTTTATTTTTACACCTTCTGCAGAAAGGAAAAAAAATGCCCATCAAAATCCAAAAAAGATTACATCCTTCTGAAACACAAATTGCATTTAACTTTTATATATCTAGTGGATGCCAGGCCTTAAAACTTATCCAACTGGACAGGTAAGTCTGTACTCAGAGTAGTTTTTGAGGTGCAAATACAGCCATTTTTGTCCATTTGTAATGATGAACCTTAAGTTCATCGGTAAATTATTTTATTTACGAAAAGAGACATACTTGCGTAAAAATAAACGGAAACTAACGCTGAATATAAAAGTGAGCAGTTTAAAGAAAATTACGTGTCTCAAAATTTGTATATGCAAGTAAAAAAGAAAATACTATTCACCATTCGTTATGCTTAATAAGTCTACGGCATTTTCTCTTTACGATTTGTTGGCATTACTTTAGGATAAATAATTACATTTCGGCTACAACAGGAATACTTATATAGCTGCATCAACTCGTCGTTGCATAATATTCATTTACGCACAATGAATGTAAACTTGTGTGTTGTATAAAGGACAGTGATTTTTTATTTTTTTAAAAGGAATTAATTGCCGTGGGAAGACGGTACACATCTCAGTGATCGACAGTCCGTGGTTGAACTTTGAACTTGACTTCGCTCACAATATTGAATGCTAAAAATAGTGACATCAATTTTGTCCACGAGATTTTTATTTGGCGGGAAATATTATCACGTAACAGTAAACTCAGGTGACCTTTCTGGATGACCGTGGGAAAATTCATTCGGGGTTTAAACTTGCTTTGGAATGATTGACATTTGTATGCCTTAAGATTGAGGCTCTAGAAGGTCCTTTTACAATTGATTAACCGGAATCTAAAATATAATCCTTTTCTGAATAAACGAACACCAGCCTTTTAATTTTACGTTTCTCAGTCAACACAGGACATAAACCTGGACATTATTTAAACGTCCATGGTCAACAATATACATAAATGGTAGATGAAAACAGGATGCATGTCGTTCAGTTCCTGTTGGGCGTTGGTAGAGATCCTCTGTGAAAATGTGTAGATCGTGAAAATGTGTAGATCGTAAAAATCCGATCCACATTTTTTTCACATATTTCTTTCTTGTAGAACACAATATAATTTCATTTAAATATTCTATAGTATTAATTGTTGAAATACTTCTTTTTTTTTTATTTCGCCAAGGACTTTTAACGAGCTGTAAAATACGGATTGCGCCCATCCAATTTTATTTTAAATAATAAAGGATCAATAACAGATCATGACAGAGATAAACAACACATGATTTTTTCTTCTTCATATAATTAAATTAGGTTGTGATTATTGTGTTGTGTCTGGGCGGGGATTGTCTCTCAGTGTTGTGTTTTTATGAATATAGGGCACATTGCATACAAAAAGTTTTCCTTTCGTTCAACAGAGTTGTCACTTTACAGTTTCTTTTCCGAGTTCAAATATTTCAAGTCGGTAATCTACCGAGGTAGTGAAACATAATATTTTACATTGCAAAATAAATTGAAAGTAACAGAGTTCACTTGTTGATCACATAAATTAACTCTTGGGTTTAGATTGGACAAATTACCGTAAAAACATCATTTTGTTTTAAGCCAGTTGATATTTATATATTGAACAATTAATGAACCGGATATTGCTCACTGAGTAGGTCATAAAAGATTCTAATTGTAGTAAAATCGTCTTTGTTGAAAAAACAAAAATTATGACCTGACCGGACTATAATAAAAATACAAAATAAGTGTTTTATTCGTATTTTTATACGTTTGTACGTTTTATTTCACATGACAATGACATGGGGCAAAAACATACAAGAATAATTATCTTATTTTGAATGAAAATGTCACATTTTTATCTGTCAAAGAAAGGAAATTTTAATACCGTGTTTTAAAGCACACACGTGCAATCAAGATCGATTAAATGTACAAAGGTAATAAATCTGGCTAATCCGATTATGTTGTCACGCGTCATTAATTTTCAGTACATCCGATGGGCAATAAACCAATTAACAGCCACGCGGTGTTGGGAGAGAATCTTTGGAGGAAATTGGGAGTATAATCCGTGATTCGCGGTGTGACACCGCTACACTCCGAAATCCGTGATTAGAGTTCGCGATTACAAACTCTCTGTGCGTACTGTATATCAATCGATTTCTTTGGATTTTTTTTCCCCCCCCCCCCCGACTTTCTCTGATCTAGCTGTATATCTATATATGGATAATTAGCATGTTCCAGAGAGGTATACAGCCAGCAGAAAAATAAATTGAAGTTTGTACTCTGTAATTTATTCGCATAGCAACATTTTAAACCAATTTTACATCAAGCTTCTATAGCCGGCTGTACTTGTCGTTTGCTACTTAAGGAGGGAAATGATAACACTAAATGGAAGTTTTGTTTTTATTTCAACTTATTTCTATTTTTACTATTTACCAGATCCATAATTAATAAACATTGGAAAAGATCTAGTATTCAGTGTTTACAGGGGAGGTAATACATATTTTGTCACAGGATTTCCCACTGAATGTTCGTTGCCTTGCTGGGGACATTAAATACTGACATCGGACTAATACTGTTAATTCTGTTAACATGGACTTTTTATACTTGTAATATAATTTGTCTCTCCGGACACATTTTACCAGGACTAATTTATCTCTTACAGTTGTGGGCAGACCTTTATTCATCAGGATTTTACTATTCCATGATTCTTCATAAGTGGGGTGAGTTGCCAGGACTAAATCCAACAGGATATAACCCTTTTTCATAAATTGGCCGAGTTGACAGGAGTAAATTCAATCGGATTTTACCCTTTTCATAAGTGGGCCGAGTTGGTAAACCAGAGTGGGGCAAGTAGTTAGAAAGTTGGACGAGTTGTAGAAAAAGTGGGGCGATTTGGCAGTGGGCGAGTTGTCTTCAGCATTTTCAATTCAATGAGCACAACAGAGGCGCGATCCAATTACATATCACAAAAAAAATGATTGTATTTAATCATGTGCACCTTTAAAATTCTGTCATCCAATCCCATCTCATGGAAATTCAAGGTTTTCTCCTCATCCGTTTCTGACATACTCGTTCTTGTTTTGATTTTAACCGGAAGTAGGAAACATGTGCTTCCTTTACCTTAAGTCTGACAGAATTCTCAGTTATTCAAGCGTGACCATAGCCATTCTGAGCTCTCATGGTTTTTCTCAATATTTTGTAGTAATACTTCCGAATGACGTCATTTGCCGTACAGCTATTCATAGGGTAACTACAAAATGTCGAAACGACACAGAATCGACGTTGGCGACTCTTTGCCAAAACGCACACGGTATGACAGCTTTATATTCATGTCAGACTTTGTCCTATTCAATATATTTAGATACACAATTGCTTTTTCTAACTGCAGAATACGTATAACACTGTGATCTGGACATTTCCACAGCAGCACATACGCATGCTGAATCAGTCCTTACCCCCTTTTCTTCTTAATTTTAAGTACCATAAAGAGGGAGGGGTTTGTATTTAAATGATTATGCAGGAAGTTCACGCCATTGCCAGGCACTGGCTTATTCAACAGGAGTTAGATTTTTTATGCCCCCGCCGAATCGGAGGGGGCATTAAATTTTACCTTTGTCCGTACGTCCGTTCGTCCGTACTTCCCAAAGTTGGTTTCCGTTCTCTAACTTTAGTTTGCCTCAACCAAATGTCATGAAACTTATACACAATGCTTATTACCACAAAATACTGATCAAGTTTGAATTTTGGATGTGTCTCTTTTACTTATTACTACAAAACTCAGATCAATAACAAATATGGGTAGCGTCACTTTTACCGCTCTTCAGTTATGTCCCTTTATAACTTTATATGATATGCAAGCGGGGGCATCATCTGTGTCCCATGGACACATTCCCCATTTATTTCTCATTAATACAATTTACAGATGTGATCATAGTCTAAAATCATATGACAAAAATTGATTTAAACCTGGACACATGCTGGAGGAAAAATCGTTTGATTGTCTGAATTGATTGAACAAGTTTGAGTTCTGAATTAATTGTGCCAGTTTGTTTGTCTGAGTTGAAACAAGTTTGATTGTCTGAGTTGATAGGCAAGTGTGATTGTCTGAATTGATTGAGCAATTTTGAGCAGAAATGTAAAAGTTGTCTGAAAAGGCAGGAAAGTATGAAGAAAGAATTAAAACCTGTTAAAATAGTGAGGCCCAAAAGAAAAATTGGTGTGTTTCCGGTCATCTGACTGTCCCTAACCTATTTTCCTAGAAAAAGTTTCTTTAAAAATCTGTAATTTTTAGGCGTGATAAAAAAAACTCTTCCATTAGCATACCCCAAAAATTGCTATGATCGAAAAGCTCTTCCTCGAGTATGTCCCAATGTCGTCTGGGTCTACTTAGCGCTGTTTTGTGACCGTGAATGATAAAATATTAATAAACATGGCTGGCTAAGTAACTAGTGTGCATGCAGTTGGTTGATGATACGCAACCATGAACCTGATAATAGTTAGGTTTCACACACAAAAACATGAACAACAGTTCAAAGAACTTTATGATGGATCGATGACAGAAAAAAAAATCCTGACCTACTGACCCTATTTTTACAGGAAAAACACCGTTTCTATTCTTTTGCCTGAGCCAACAGAGTGATATACAGTTAGTCATTTTGTGGATGCTGTGAGAATAATACTTTTAGAAATGTTCAAAGATACCAAGAATATGGATTCAATTGATGTTTAAATTAAAACATGAAATTAACATTAATAAGTAAATTTAGAAAATAAACGACAACAAAAGCTTGTTCTACCATAATATTCTAACAAATCTTGACATCTTTTCCCAATCCTGTTGAAAAGAAAATAGGACTGGCAAAAGCTAAATCAATGTCCGTCCAAATGAATGACAGGTAAAAGATTTTTTTTAAATTTCAAGAACTCTGGTAATACAAAATTACCTCTTTTTGGCTTACAATATAAATTGCAAAGTTATAACCCCTCAAGTATTTATTATTTTAGTTAAAACATCACTTGGTCCAATTTGTCAAAATATTTAGCTTTATTTACATACATACAATGTATCTTTGGCTCCACCCCTCATCCATAAAATTGTTGTGTCTGTGGATTCCAATATAAACTCTGGCACCTTCTGGTAAAAAAAAAAAATGGTTCATAGGTGGGGCCAAGGTTTTTCTAAAGCTTTTACACATGTAGGTTTGAAAAAAAATGCAAAAAATTATGTTTTGACAACAGATCATGTTACGATGTAATGTATTCTTATGGGGAGATTTGATTTACTTGTCATTGAGGCATTTAAAAAAGACTCATTTAAGAACCTAAATGTGGCCTTAACAATAATAATCATTCATTCTTAAATTTAATCATATTATCATTCTATTGCAGGGAAGAAATGGATAAGAACATTTCCAAAGATGATAAACCATCAAAAAGTATATTTGAGGAGTTCAATATTCAAAAACCAACAATTAAGATGAATCCATTTACAGGTAAAAATGAAGTTCCTATACTGTATCACTTACTCAGAATGAAAGTAAAGTTATATGATGTTCACAGCATCTTGTTGGGCAGCTAAGGCTTATCAAGGAGTTAGTCAAGTACAAATTGCAATTGGTATTACTGTGCTTATCTGGAAGGCTTTGGCCTATCACAATACCAATTGCGAAAATAGTTTACCAAATTGCAGTTTGAATTCATCTCCACAAACTGATCAACTGGTAAAATATTTTAGCTAATTGCTTCAGTGAAAGGTTGTTAGTATGAAGTGAGTGTAGTGAAATAAAAATAATGCTTACCATCCAACTTCAGTTATTTAATGTCTGTGTAATGAAATTGAAATAAAATAATCACCTACTGTGAAAGTACTTTTATTCGTGGGGTACCAATTTTCGTGGTTTTCGTGGAAGGCTTTATTCAGGAGTTTTAAGTGTCCAACAAAACATAACAACTGTTGTCAAAATCAAGACCTGGAAAGATCCCCATGTAGGTTTGAATACTTTTTATCCATTTAAGCTTTAAAAAAACCTAAACTGTCCAACTTTTAACCTTTTAGTTCTCATGAAGAATTAGTTCCGATCAATGAAAGTCACTCCCATTGATGATATGCGATGATGAAGTGTTCATTTTATCTCCTCATAATTCTCAAACCAAAAAAAAAATCATATTGGGCATGCTTTTTTATTTCATAAGAATTAATTCTAAAAATCAAAGTACATTTGTAGCATATTTTTTATGTAATTGTTTCTTTAAGTGACATATTTATTGCCCAATTAACACCTCTGATGATCGTTAATCTGTAGATCATTCGATCTCGGGTCAATTCGTGTCATCACATTGATTACACGTGTGCAACAATTAAAATGTTTACTTTGGAATTTCATTCAATAGAGACACATTTTGTAAGCATAGATGAATCAGTTTATTTCCGAAAGCAATTATTATATTGAAAAATGTATGAATGTTGTCAGTAATGAAAGACTAACAAGAAAGATTTTTTTCAGAAAACTAAAATCCACGAATTTAAGAACCCACGAACATGTAACTTTTGCTCAAACCATGAAAATTGATACCCATGAATAATAGTACTTTCACAGTACTATTATATAAGGCTCTTGTTTAAAAAGGTCTGACTTTGACATGAAAACTTCTATCCTAATGACATTTTATAAATAATTAGTTCTTACAATTGTTTAGTTAGTCAATAATTTATTGCTTTGTTTTCTAACAGGAAGTTATTGTGTAATTGTAATTTGGATAAATTTTTCTAAAAAAAATTACTGATCTGCTGGTATTAAGGGAAATAATTTTTACTCAGTCATTGTATAAAATTTTTAATTAAAGATAACCAGGCTGATAATTTTGTACGCCATACACATATTTTGTCTACAGAAGACTCATCAGTGAGGCTCAAATAAAAAAATTGAAATGCCAAATTCAGTACGAAGTTGAAGTGAATTGAGGATCAAAATTCCGAAAGCTTTTGCAAAATACTGTTTGTAAGTAATCTAATACTTGCGGGTAGAAAATCCTTAGTTCTTTTGAACAATTCAAAATTTTGCAAAACAGTTAATTTATAATTTTGACCATATATATGAATGATAATTCATGTCAACACAGAATTGCTGACTACTGGGCTGGTGACACCCTCTTAATTTACAGAGGAACTATGTTTTATACAACTTTGAATGTGTCCCATGGTATGTTTTCAACAGGTTTTTTTTCAAAATTTTAATCATCTTAAAATTAGATTTCAGTGTTCTTTTAAGATCAGTGGATAATAGTTTAATAATCATGGAAATAATGTTTAGAACAAATTACTTATAAAATCAATATGAACAAATGATGAAGGAAGTTGATAGTTGACAGAACACAATTTTGCTGATTAAAATTTGATTTATTTCCCTTTATTATAAGCAGATTAGTAATTGGTTTCAAAAAAATATCCAAATTACAATTACACAATAACATCCTGTGAGAAAACAAAGCTATAAATTATTGAATGTAGGACAGAAAGTCACAGGACAAAAAGACATAATTCAGTTTTGAGATTATTTTTCTTTGAACAAGTCATTATTCAGTTTTGAGATTATTTTTCTTTGAACAAGATAAACAAGTCATAATTCAGTTTTGAGATTATTTTTTCTTTGAACAAGATAACCATGATAACACTAATTTTAAAAAAAATATTTTTGTTTTTTCTGATACTATTATATATAAAGCAACATTGTAATTAAAATTTATGAAAACAAAATGTCAAAGAGGCCTGATCCTTAAATGGCTTCAAATGGCTTGGTGCCAAGAAATATATCCTTTGCACTATTAAAATTTAATTAATTTTCATTTATTTAGGCTTATGAGCAATTTCCTAAACTTAAAAATGAATATATGTTAAAGAAAGAAACTATTTCAACATCTTTCTCTTATATATTCAAACAATTGTCAACAAATTATTTGTGACTTTATGTCCTATCAAATTTGTGACTCTATGTCCTGTGACTTTTTGTCCTGTGACTTTCTGTCTGTTAACCAAATTAACTAACTATTTATGAAATTTATGTAGAATGGAAGTTTTCATGTCAAATTTAGACCCTTTTAAAGCATGCCTCATATTATAGTAACTCATTATTTTATGTGAATTTCATGACATAGACAAAAATTAACTGATATCTAATGGTAAGTAAAACTATTTTACCACTGCACTCACTTCACACTAACAACCTATCACTGAAGCAATTACTTGAAATATTTTACCAGTTGAACAGTTTGTATTGATGAATTCAAACTGCAATTTGGTAAACTATTTGAGCAATTGGTATAGTAATAGGCCAAAGCCTACTGAATAAGCACTGTAAATAAGACAGTTGTTGGTAGTTGCTAATTACATTTATACCAAGTAATCAATTGAAATAAATTGGAAGTTAAAAATATAGAAACTTTTTTTGTTCAGAGATTACCAGTAAATCATAATGATTTTAATGAAAAACATTTATGTTTGTTAGAAAATCAAAAGATTTAAGTGATTGTTTTTATTCTAGTTTTGAAAGTAATAATAATTTTGAAAACTCCACTTTATAATTAATGTTTCTTTTATCAGGGATGCCATATACACCCAGATACTTTGAACTATTCAACAAAAGAACTCTTCTGCCTGTATGGGAATACAAAGATAAATTTCATGATGTGCTAGAAAAACATCAGTGTTTGGTATTGGTAGGAGAAACAGGTTCTGGTAAAACAACTCAGGTAAGATATATATCATCAGTGAGCCAGTCAGGGCTTCCAAAATTATTTTTAGCCAGCCGGACATTTTATATATTATCCCGATTTTAATCCCTTAAGACTAAATAAACAAAAGGCAATTATGGTAATCAGTTGCCGAGTTGGCCATCCCAATGATTGATATTTAAAAAAAACGATATTAAACTTTCTTTGATTCAAATTCGAAGTTCTGACGTAAACTGTTAAATTGGCAGTGCATCATCCGAAGTGTGCAACATCAGCGTACTTATATCTGCATTTATAGACTCTTTATTTGTGCAAAATAATGTTGTCAAAAACTTTACTTTCATTTTTAAATCTGAAACCGGATGTTATCTTGACAATGGTAAAACATAGACCAGAGACGGATACGTAAATTCCATGTACGTTTGCAAAGCATGAATGAGTGTAAGTAGCTCATTCTACGTTATTTCTTCAAGAAAATATTCGAAATAAACGTGAGATAAAGGTATCAATGACAATTTAAGCATTTTTTTAAGAAATTAGGATGCATAATTAAATTTCACACCTGCGCACATGCACATGCGCACACGTGTACTAGTTCAAACAGAGAAATGTCTCTGGTTCAAACAACGTGGTTATGACGATTTTTCATTTTCACTTCTTTAATTTTTTCATCAAATCTTATTTGTAAATGTATTTCTGATAATTTAAATCTTTTTGACTAAATTAATTAGATGCAAACCGGTGAAATGTAAGAAAATAACTTTGAATAGACCGATCAATGTCCGGTTCAAAATAGTTTACCTGTCACCTGAACAGGTAATTTCAGCTGTTCGACAACTAATTAGCCTTGATTAAAATGAGAAGGTATTAAAGTAGGGGTTGTTTTGATAGTACTTAATGATCATGTCATTTTTATGACCGGAAATGTGTGGCTGTTGAAGGCAAAAGGTTGGGTCAAAAAGATCGCGAATTATGTTAAAATTACCGTCTCTTAAGAAAGCCATGAAATCTAAAAAGTAGATGACCGTTTCATGCTTTGCCCAGCCGGACTTTTACCGGACTTTATACAAATGTCCGGAATATATGACCGTTTTGGAAGCCTTGGAGCCAGTGACAATATTTGTGCCAAAAAAAATATATGTGTGGTTCCATGTACGTCCTGAAAAAAATTAGGGTCAGTTTGTAGGTATGTTAGAACCAGAAGTATCGGAAAAAAATCTGGAAAAACTGGAAGTGAATGTTGAAATAAGAAAAAAAGGTTAAGATTGAGGAATGGGGTACACACTAGGGTTGGTTGGGTAATTGGAACACACTTATAAATTTTGTTTGGCCATAGTTTATGTACAAGAATGTTTTAATGTAACATAATAACAAAAAATAAAGTATAAGGATCTGGTACAAATCAACACATTATATGATTAAATTTGTGATCCAATGAAAATGACAGGAACTGCTCAGGCCTCAAACTTTGTCTCCAGGATAATCGCAAGTTTTAAAATATTTGCATCAAATTCCATTTCTCCTCTTTTCAGACATGCATTACATTTTGTAAACCTTTATATGAAGTTATTTCATGCATATTAAATATCACAAACTATTACTCACTTTTGAGTAAGGTAATTATTTTCAATTGTCCCTAGAGGGTCATAATGACAATTGATTCAAGGATCAACAGGTGTATGTTTTAGTAAATCAGTTGATAATTTGTTTACATGTCAATTAGAATCTATTGGTTACATTTGAATTGTTCAATAATCAAAGGAAATAGAAGTCATAAATAAATTAACCTGTACTTGTGGTTATCGACATATGCATTTATAATTTCATACAACATGACTCAACTGTTTTGGTCTCTAATATCAATTTTAATACAGTTTCAGTATGAAATTTTGACATGGGAAAAATAGTGTGTTGCCATAAATATCACAAGCAAATTTTTCTGTTTGCTGGATGAAACTCAAAATCTCATATAGTCAAATTAAACATTGTATATAAAATGATATCTATTTCATACAGATTCCCCAATGGTGCTTGGAATGGGTCAGAGCAAGATTTAATAAAAAGGGTGTAGCTTGTACCCAGCCTAGGAGAGTAGCAGCTATGTCTGTAGCACAGCGTGTGTCAGAGGAAATGGATGTGTGCCTGGGGTCAGAGGTTGGATACAGTATACGATTTGAAGACTGCACATCATCGAGAACTTTATTAAAGTAAGAATTGTGTGAAATTGGACTGCTAATGAAAATGAAACAGAAACAATAAAAAATCATAAAATGTATACTTATACTATTTCAAAAGCAATTACTGTAAACCAACTAATTTTCGCGAGTAGAAAAATAACGCGAGTTCTTTATAACAAGATTGTACTCTGCCATTTGTTCCCATGATAAGTTCCGACATGTTTATATTGTCCATCCTTGTCTGACACATTTTCTATCCAGTCATGTAAAGTTGAGCTTGATATAATATCTTTCAATCAATTCAGACAATCAAACATTTCCAAACCATTCTGTAAAACTTGCTCAATCAGTATTCAGGTAAGGAACCTTCGATAGTATTTTTTACCTGTAAGAGCATGTCTAGTAACCCCTTAACTGTCCATCTGTAACTCCAACAGTTCTCTTGAACCCTTTTTCAGACTGCACAATGGTTACTAAGAGATTTATGATTTGCACCTATTCATGTCTGCAGAAATGCACTTTAATTACATTGATTAATCATAATCTGGCACAGTCCAATAGAAAAAGGTATTAGTATACTATACAGCCTTCATGATAAACTTTTGAATCCACAAACCTGAAGCTCAATTTTACTAAAACTTTAGTTAGATTCTATTAGCCTGTAGATATGATTTTTACAAGCCTGGATTAATTATAATTTGGTTTACATTATATAAAAAAACTATGTAGATTTAAATTGAATATGTATATTAACAGATATATGACAGATGGTATGTTGTTAAGAGAAGCTATGTCTGACCCTTTACTTGAGAATTATGGGATAGTTATGCTTGATGAGGCTCATGAACGTACACTGGCTACAGATATATTGATGGGCTTGTTGAAGGAAGTCAGTAAACAAAGAAAAGACTTGAAGATCATCATTATGAGTGCTACATTGGATGCTGGAAAATTTCAGGTATAAACCCCTCCAAAAATTCTGCCTAGAACATCTTGAAACCCTGTAAAGCGACCCTAGAATTTTTCACAATGAAAATATTTACATTCCGTTTCTAGTACTTTTCAAAATTTATTGCAGGGGTCTTGACAAAACTGAAATGGTTGTACTGAAATATTTGAAGTTTTTTTTTGATTTTAGAAGTAAATTCCTTGCCTGTTTTCTGTTTTCTGATCAATATCTGTAAAAATTGAGAGTAACAAATGTACTTTATTCCTAGGTACATCGTAAATCAATGTCAAAATTTATCTTGTCTTATAAGCTATACATATACAATTTAACCCATATTGTCTCCTGGACTCCTGCTTCTATTGTGAACAAAACATTAAGATTTATATTACTGTAATTGAAATTTCAACACATTTTTCCAGTAGTTTGAGAGTTGTTCTATTTTATCCTGACATTGTTCACAAGGAATGAACTTTGAAAATGGACTTCCCATCTCCAAAAGTAAATTTCACACGCATTATCACTCTGAAAAGAAGTTTTAGACAGTATCCTCTAGATATGACCAACAGATCTTCATTGGCTAATTACTGATGATCATGATTGTCACCTGCAGGAAAAGTTCACAATCAGGAGCCAACAGATTTTTCATGTAGATTTAAAAAAAAAATGAGATTTAGGGCTTTTTCACAATCATGATCTTGAATTCGGAACAAGTCAAAATTGTGTAATTCACATCTGAATCATGTAAATTGACAGATATGCAAACAAATCATGAAAGCAAGCTTCAGAAACTCATCTCTTTATGAATATCTTATAAAAGAGGTCCTTGCCAAGTCACTGCAATCAGATCATTGTGATAAAAGACCAAGCTCTTAGCCTCTTATATTTCATGTCTATTTTATTCCAGCATTACTTTGACAATGCTCCATTGATGACAGTACCTGGCAGAACACATCCTGTGGAGATCTTCTACACACCAGAACCAGAAAGAGATTACTTAGAAGCTGCCATCAGAACTGTTATACAGATACATATGTGTGAAGAGATGGCTGGAGATTGTCTGCTCTTTTTGACAGGACAAGAGGTACATTGAATGCCTTGTTCATGATGTGATATCATTTCATTTTATATAATAGTATTTAAAGTTTTTGTTTCACACCTGGTACTTATAGTGCTGAAGTTAGTATATAAATAAATACTCAACTGCAATCTTTCAAGAGTTAGAAATGTTTAGGAAATTTGTTGTCAGCAAAATTCGTGAGATTGAGAGTTGAAATTTAAAGTAAATTAGCTGATTGTTTTTCTGTGGTTCGGCTGTTTTAATTTGTTTAAAGTTGAATTGAAAATGTCTATATATGTTTTAAATAGTACTTGTCAGTCTGAATTTCTACGCTCTAATCCATCAGACACATATCTGGTGTATTAATGACACGAAGTACATTAAGGCTTTGCCTTGAAAGAATGCTAAGAAGGTTTTAGAGAAACCCACATACAGTCATAAAATATCAAGTGCGAAAAGGCTCAAATAACGTAAGAAGAACAGTTGAAAAATAATTGCCCTTGAGAAAAGCATCATCTTCAAAGTCTTCAATAAATTTCTCTCCTTTTTCTTCACAAATTTAATGGTTTATTGGCTTTCATTTTTCTCATTGGCTTAGCTATTGTTAAGTGTGCTTCCTATAAAATGAGATATTTCTTCGATTGTAGGAAATAGATGAAGCCTGCAAGAGAATACAGAGAGAAGTAGATAACCTAGGACCAGAAGTTGGAGACATGAAATGTATTCCTTTATATTCAACTCTACCACCAAATCTACAACAGAGAATCTTCGAGCCAGCACCTCCTAACAAGCCTAATGGAGCCATTGGACGAAAAATAGTTGTGTCAACAAATATTGCAGAAACATCACTGACTATAGATGGTGTTGTTTTTGTCATAGATCCAGGATTTGCTAAACAGAAAGTAAGTTATCAACAAATTGTAAAATTTAAAGATTCGTAAAATAAGCAGAATCAAAAACAAAATTTACATTAAATACACACAAATGATTGAAGAAATTGAAAATATAGAAAATAAATCTTTAGTCCACTTACTCTTAGAATATCAGAGTGGACTTAGGTTAGAAGAAACATAGCTGTTGGGCCTGTGGTTAATCATAACTATTCCAAAAAAAATGTTGAGAAAGTTAGCTAGGCAGATAAAGGACCTATAAACTGTCTGTTTTTATACGACCGCAAAAAAATTTTGTGGTCGTATATTGGTATGACGTTGGCGTCGTCATCGTCGTCCGGTGTCGTCGTCCGAAGACACATTGGTTTTCGCACTCTAACTTTAGTTTAAGTGAATGGATCTCTATGAAATTTTACCATAAGGTTCAATACCTCAAAAGGAAGGTGGGGATTGATTTTAGGGGTTATGGTACCAACAGTTAAGGAATTAGGGGCCAAAAATAAGCATTTTTGTAACTTCCGGACATAACTTGTGTGTTAGTGTATGGATCTCTCTGACATTGTACCACAAGGTTCCATATCACAAAGGGAATGCTGGGATAGATTTTGGGGGTAATTGCCTCCAAATTTTAGGAATTAGGGGCCAAAAAGGGGCAAAAAACAAGCATTTTTCTAGTTTCATGACAATAACTTGTGTGTAAGTGTATGGATCTCTCTGACATTGTTCCACAAGGTTCCATATCACAAAGGGAATGCTGGGATTGATTTTGGGGGTAATTGCCTCCAAATTTTAGGAATTAGGGGCCAAAAAGGGGCAAAAAACAAGCATTTTTCTAGTTTCATGACAATAACTTGTGTGTAAGTGTATGGATCTTTATGAAATTGTACTACAAGGTTCCATATCACAAAGGGAAAGCTGGAATTGATTTTGGGGGTAATTTCCCACAACGTTCAGGAATCAGGGGCCAAAAAGGGGCCAACAATAAGCATTTTTCTAGTTTCCAGACAATAACTTGTTCAAGTGTATGGATCTCTCTGAAATTGTACTGCAAGGTACCATACCACAAAGGAAAGGCTGGGATTGATTTTTGGGTTAAATCCCTAGAAATTTGAGGAATTAGGGGCCATAAAGGGGCAAAAAACAAGCATTTTTCTAGTTTCAGGACAATAACTTGTGTGCAAGTGTATGGATCTTTATGAAATTGTACTGCAAGGTTCCATATCACAAAGGGAAAGCTGGGTTTGAGTTTGGGGGTAATTGCCATAAATGTTTAGGAATTTTGGGCCAAAAAGGGGCCAAAAAATAAGCATTTTTCTAGTTTCCAGAAAATAACTTTTGTTCAAGTGTATTGATCTCTCTGAAATTGTACAGTAATCATACATGTGAACCTCCCGAAGGGAATACAATAATCCCGTTTTCAGGGGTCTCCTCCCGACCTCCCGTTGAAGACAAAAAAATCCTGTGTATGAAATATTTCATGAATGAATAATTTCAGCCCAACATATCTGGTGTAAGTGACATTACCTGAAGTTATATTTTACCTGTAAATCAATTAACATGATAATTATATGGCTTCACTTGTCACCTTGGGTGTCAAACATACTGGTAATCAACGATTTTTACATCAGGCTAACTGCCGTTGTGTAATAAAACTTTGTATATTTATAAATGAATGTTGGGTTACTTCCCTTGATTTATCCTGTTTTAAGTTACTTTCCTTTAAATAATGTAAATTTTTAAAAGAATATAAATAAAATATAAATTGAACAAATAATCATAAAAGGATGGTAATTAAATGATTTTAAATGTCTTAGGACAAATAAAAAAATAATAATTTGAAAATTATTTGAGGGTTCTATACTTCCTTTCAAGGCATAAATTGAAATTTATATATTAACTATGACCGAGGATTACAGTTTGAATGTGTTACTTATCATGCATTAAAAATCTACTAAATCAGTCAAAAAACTGGGCTAGATGATAGATGAGAAAAATTTTCAATTTTTCAAATTAAAATTCCGTATTATAAATAAAGTGGCTTATTTCTCCTTTTTCATTCTTCTAAGCAGTATGTAAGCACTCTTTTAGCACACTAAACCCAAATTAACATTCTCAACCACTACGGTTGTATATTGTATTAGTATTTTCAAATAAGCAAGTTCACACCAATCTGAGTGTTGAGAAAGAAAAAAAAAAAAAAAAAAAAAAAAAAAAAATTAAAAATCTACTTGCATAAAGATAAAAATAAAAGATCTACTTGCAGATAGATAAGCAAATATTCTGAATGCAATGAATAATGGAAAAAAAGATATGACCTAAAAAATTTAAAGAACATACTTAAAAAGAAGAATGTTAGATTGAACAAGTTGAAAGTTTAAAAAGATAGAGAAAATTTAAAAGTACAAGGGTACTATAAACATAATACATTCGGATGGAAAGTTGAAGAAAACACACTTTAACAGACAATTTCTACAGCACACGGTTACATTTACGACAGAATTTATGTCGATTAAAAACCTCCTGATCTGAGTCCTAATCTCCTGACCAAAGTTTCCCAAACTCCTGATCTTAGTTTGTCAGTCCATCATATGTACTGCAAGGTACTGTACCACAAAGGGAAGGCTGGGATTGAGTTTGGGGGTGATGAATCATAAGGGGGTTCAAAAAATTTTGGGGGGAGGGGGATTTTTTTTTCCTTTTTTTTCTTTGAAATTTTCCATTTTAAATTGGTTATTTCTGATTTATATATAAAAGCAAAAAATAATGATATGGTTTGAATAGATAAATTAAAATTTTTTAAGTTCTTAGACCACATTCATTCTGTGTCAGAAACCTATGCTGTGTCAAATATTTAATTACAATCCAAATTCAGTGCTGTATCAAGCTTGAATGTTGTGTCCATACTTGCCCCAACTGTTCAGGGTTCGACCTCTGCGGTCGTATCAAGCTTCGCCCCAGCGAAGCATTTTATTGTTTCATGCAATGATTTGTTTCAATTTTTCTTTGAAAACACTGGACATGTGATATGTTTGGTAGTACATTCAAGGTAGTATATATGGATGAGAAGTAAATTTGCTGTAATATGTCTTGGTTTACAATAATAAAGACATGAACAATTGATTGTATGTGATTGATTTATGTGTCTGCTTATCATCCAGTGACAAGTATTTCATGCATATTTAGGACAAATTTATATGGGAAAGTATGTGTGCTAATAATTATAAATTCTTTTTTATGTAAATTACAGGTATATAATCCACGCATCAGAGTAGAGTCATTACTTGTAACTGCCATTAGCAAAGCCAGTGCCCAGCAGAGAGCTGGTAGAGCAGGACGTACAAAACCGGGAAAATGTTTTCGTCTTTATACAGAGAAGGCCTATAAACAGGAAATGCAAGACAATACATACCCAGAAATCTTACGATCAAATCTTGGATCGGTTGTCTTGCAGCTGAAAAAACTTGGAATTGATGATTTAGTCCATTTTGATTTCATGGATCCTCCAGGTAAAGTTTTCATGATTAAATCTTAGAAAATCTGAGGTAGGGCTTTTGGTCCTTATTGAAGGCTTGACTGTGACTTTGAGATGAACTGCAGTAAAAGCACAATTCCTTTGCTTTGGTTTTTTTGGGTTTTTTTTTGGAAGTTTGGGTCAAGAATTGATGCTCCATATCTCATCTTTCCTATTTATTGCTTTTGCCTTTTCATATTTTTTTAAAGATCAAAAGTCCATGAAATATTTGGCTTAAAGCTAAGGATTATTCTTTATTATATATGCAGAAATATTAGCTAGAGTTTGTCGACAGGGCAATTTTTTGGCTAACAAAGATTGGAAAATAAGATGTTATGTAATAAATTTACTATTAAATTGAAAAACTTAGTAATTTACTCGATACTTTTTTTTAAAATTTCAGCCCCAGAAACTTTAATGAGAGCTTTAGAATTGTTAAATTACCTAGCAGCTTTAGATGATGATGGAGAACTGACAGAACTTGGGTCAATGATGGCAGAATTTCCACTTGACCCACAGTTAGCTAAAATGGTCATAGCAAGTTGTGATTTTGGATGTTCCAATGAAATCCTCTCCATTACAGCAATGTTGTCAGGTAGTAAATGTTTTATAATTAAAATATTTCATCAATTGAATTTAATGAGTTTTCATTTCTGTATTTTTAAATTTGTCTTTATATTTTCATTTTAAAGCTTATAAAATAATGATATAACTGATCAAAGATTACAACTGTTCAGAGTTTTCATACTTTTAAATATTTCTGGATAAAATTTCGTCCAGGGCACCAAGTTAAATGTTAAAGACAGCTCTTAGAAACCGGGTGCTCTGGATAACATTATGGCTTGCTTTTAGTTTTGACTACATGTATGATGATTAATGGCGATGGGGATGGGCCGTCTGGCCCCTACCGCATCCACCCTGTTTAGTCCCACAGTGCTTTGTGAGACCCACTGAAGCTAAGAAAGCAGCTGATGAAGCCAAGATGAGATTTGCACACATAGATGGAGACCACCTGACATTGCTGAATGTGTACCATGCCTTTAAGCAGAGTAAGTTTTTTAGTAAAAAGTCATATGAATTTAAATGTTCTCATATTTATAATCTGAGGGGAGTTTGAAATCATCTTATTTTGATAATATTGGGGTAGTGGAGGTGGAAACAACTTTTCACATGATGCATTACATATTTCTAATTTAAATTGTATGGATTTTGGTTGGGGGGGGAAGGGGTAATGCCTTTCAAAGTCTCCCACGTATATATTTTTTGAAGTGTTCTTTGTAATAATTTTTTCAATTTCCTGAAATCTCAGAAAACTGACTACAATTAAACAGAAAAACAATTTATTCCTTTTCTTCTGGAATAGGACATAGTTTTATTTGTATAAAGAGTAAATTATTTACAGATCTTACTCCCCCTCCTTATTCCCTCTAAACATGTAATATCCAATTTGTTTAATGACTTATTTTTGCTTCTAAATCCAACTTGATCATAAAGCTTGTAATCCTTGTATATTAAGGTAACTTATAATTTGTTTTATATACTTGTTACCAGAGCATTGCATTGCAGGGGACCAGAACAACTGCCTAAAAAAGAGAATGCACATTAATTGTCTATTAAAGTAATACTAGACAATTTATTAAAAATACATTTGATGCACTAGGACAGCCCATATTTCTGTATTTATTTTTTGAAAAATTATGTAAACATTATTTTAATAAGTCATATGTTACAGTTAAATTTGGAAAATGTTCTGAAGAGATAAAAATCCTTTTTTGATCGAAATTTATTTCTCAAAACATTTGAAAATTACATCTGATTGGATTGAATATATATTTATTATATAAGCCAATCAAAATATCGTTTTTGTTTGTCTGTAGGTCAAGAAGATCCACAGTGGTGTTATGACAATTTTGTAAACTACAGATCATTGAAGAGTGCAGATAATGTGAGACAACAGTTGGCCAGAATTATGGACAGGTTTAATTTGAGACGAACAAGTACAGACTTTTCCAGCCGGGATTACTACATCAACATCAGAAAGGCTTTGGTGTCTGGATTTTTCATGCAGGTATAAATCGCTTTTTTCCTTCCTTTTCAAGAAACAAGAGGCAGTTTCGGTTTGTGAGATATTACCAACAAAGTTTCAAGCAAAACCATTTTTGTTATGCTCCTTTTCCTTAATAGAAGTTTTTTCAATGTGATGAGAAAAATAAACAAACACAATAGTCAGGAAGAAAAATATACAATATCAATTGTTCAGTAAAAAAATTACAAATACAATGTTTAGATAGAAGTTTTTATAAACAAATTTTTTGGAAAGAATAATATACAAATACAGTTGTTAGATAGGCAGCCATCTTAGAGATTCAGAATCAATTTTACAATTTGAACATGTTTAAATATATTTAATTTTTTTAATATCTTTCATGTTTTAGAATGTCTTGAAAATATTGCTCATAAAGCATTTGTCAGACTATGTATTTATTGATGAATTGTTGTTTTCTTAATATAAATAAGAAGATGTGGTATGAGTGCCAATGAGACAAATGGTCAAATCTATATAAAAAACGAGAAACACTTATGAACCACATCAACAAACGACAACCACAGAACAACAGGCTCCTGACTTCTGACAGGTGCATTCTTAATGTCCAGTTGTAAATATTTTATGCATTTGCAGCGTATTCTTTTGTAATTGAATCTCTGTTCCCCACAATTCTGTCTTTTTCTGAACAAAATCATCAGTCCCAAGTGGATTTGTATTAGGTTTGATTTTCCTGCTTTAATTGTTTTTAAAAAAATGCTACTTGCATAAATCTAAGTATTTAGAACAAGTATATTTGTAAATCTCATTCATGCATTTTCTTTAGGTTGCACATTTAGAAAGGACAGGACATTATCTTACGGTAAAAGACAACCAAGTTGTCCAGCTTCATCCTTCAACATGTCTCGATCACAAACCAGAATGGGTGCTTTACAATGAATTCGTATTGACTACAAAGAATTATATACGTACAGTATCGGACGTGAAACCTGAATGGTATGGATAATGTATATAGCAAAAATTATTTAACCGATAGGGTATTTATTAAGATTTTCATTAAAAGAAGATCGAAACAAAAATAGCAAGTAAGACTTGACAATTGATATAATTTCAGAGGTGAAAAACTTTGTGATAGTCTCAAAACTAAGATACATATTTTTAAGCAAAGACAAAGATATGCCAATCTTTTTTAGAAAAGTATGCTAATGATCAGGAATACAATTCCAAACAAAAATGCTCTCTGTTCGGAAAGTGTTTTTTCTCAAAAAATAGTACATGGACATAAGGAGAGTGAAGCATTACATTGAATCCTTGCAAAATGTGTCACAAAATTAATTGGTCATTTGTCATAAAAAAAATGAAACAGATTTTTCATTGCCAAAAAAATTTCAACTACTTAATTGTAATTTTCATATGAGCTTATTTGTGGAGATTCACCACAGCTGGTAAACAGTTATTTATTGATAAATCTCATAAGGGCAGTCAAATTATTATTTTTATATTTCTACATTATAATTTAAGTACAATTTATACTTATGTAGTGATTGTACTTATGACACAACTGATATTTTTGGTATCCAGTTGAAATAAGTCAACAGTTTCTTTTGTATGGAAAAAAAAATATAATCTTATATGTTGCTCATTTAATAATGATTTTGTTCTGTTTTGTAGGTTAGTGGCAATAGCACCTCAGTATTATGACATGGACAATTTCCCTCAATGTGAAGCTAAGAGACAACTAGAAAGAATTATAGCAAAGTTTGAATCTAAAAAGTTTCAGCAGGATGGAGCTGCATCATATTGATGATATTTGCTATATGTAAACAGTTACATTTAATGTCATCGCTGAAAGAGTCATAGTTATCCTTCATTTTGTCTGCACTGTTCCCCTCGTTAAAGGGAGACAACTTATGAGGGTAAATATGATGCTTTCTTGTTACGGTTAACATGGAAATTTATGTTGGCTGATTTTTTTTATGATTACAGGAACATTCAATGTTGGTTTATTTATCATTAAGTTAAATACTGAAATAAAAAATCATTATTGAAATATGATAAAAACAAACCATACCTCAGCTTTGAAATTTCTAGGTTAACTTTGTACATTTCATCATATTTTGTCAATTTTATATGAAAGTAAATTATCAATATATCATGGTAAATGTCATTTCTAAAGTAAATGTATGAGACTGAGGATAGAGGGATTTTTTCTTTTGCATGCCATAAGACAACATTGCCTTTGTTTTCCCATACAACCCACTGCAGGTCAAGTTCTTCTTTATGTCGTTTCTGAGGTAAGCCCCTAGATTATACAGAAACTGGTAGATTTGAGTATCTAAAATGAGTGTTGATCACACCAGGACCGTTAAATACTTGTAAGGTTAAATGACATATTCTGATATATTATTTGATTTTCTACGAATGTCTTGGGTTTGCTCAGAATAGTTATCAGTTTTTTATCAGTGTCATACATAGGTAAATTTATTTGACTTGCATTATGCAAAAGTAGTATAACAATTGGAGAAACTGCATACATTTGAGAGCATCAAAAACAAGAAGACAAAAGGGCCCAGAAATAGTCAGAACATCTTAATGTCAACTGCTTTATAGAGAGTTGCAACATTAGTTTATTTAAAGAACAGATGCACAACTTAGAAACTGAAAATTTGAAAATTAAATGCACCATCCAAGTCATGCCTGTAATGTTGAACTAGCCTATGCACTCACCAGCAAGGAAACCATGGGACAAATTTTGCATCACACAACTCAAAAAGTTTAATGGTTTATTAAATGTTAATTTTCCTGATGATTTGGGGAATGTAACGCTATAGTTTCAAAAGTAAGTATAAATCATTGCAATTACACATACATTACATATTACATATAAAGTAGCTATAGTATAACTGTTTATGGAAATAAAAAATATTATGGAAATTACTGCAAAAAGGTATTTGTAAATGTTCAAATAACTAACTAACTCTTGATTCACCATTTTAGAATCTAATGCATTCTGGGTAATATTTTCAAAAGTGTACACCAAAACGTCTTGATTGGTTAAAAACGTCCTAAATACTGGAAATTCAACCAATGAAATGATAATATTTTCTTTTTTTGGGTGCAAGCTATAGAATTACCCATAGTCCTTAAGATTCTGAATCAGCTATTGACATGCACCTGTTTTATAAAATAACGGACATAGATCACAACAGTGTATTGTATAGACATGCAAGAACAGGTGTAAAAAAAACTTAGTCCCAAGCCAGAATTTTCTATGCAGTATCATATGTAGATTTTCTCTTGACCTGAACAAGCATTCAGAAATTTGACTTTTTATGTCTATAAATTTATACAACCATGGATGCATTCAGTCTGATTGAATAATCCTGAATAGACAAAAAGCCTCAGAAATTTAGAGGTGGAGGTTCTTCTATCTATTATACTGCATGATTCCTGTCAAGATATGAAAATAATAGTTGAAGATATTATTTTAAAAAGAATATAATGTTAAAAGCTGTGCAGTGTTTTATTAAAACAGCTACCTAAAGAGTGTATCCCAGTTCAAAGGTCAATTTTTACTGAATGATTATGTTAACTCATTTTATATTGTTGTCTGTATGATTAAAATTGTTATAAAGAGTACTTGTTCATATTTATGTGATTTATTTAAGCCCATGCATTTAATGTCCCCCATACAACGTGTTGCGGGGGACATAGAAATACTGGGCGTCTGTCCGTCTGGTCTTGTTAGCGCTCTCACATGTACAATTCTTGCCAGATTTTTATGAAACTTATATCATAGGTTTATATCAGCAATGTCTTGGACGGTTTCAAAAATCAGTGCTGATCAATAATTATTAAAAGAGTTATGCCCCTTGGAAACATCAATTATATTGAAAATTGCCTGTTGAGCGCTCTGTGTACAATTCTTGCCAGATATTTATGAAATTTATATTATAGGTTTATTTCAGCAATGTCTTTGACACTTTTGAAATTAAGTTTTGATCTGATTGCATTTGCTCTGAAGCCTTCATTTCTCTAAAATATTAATAATATAGGTTGTTCTTCATGAATATTATGGGAACTGCCCCTCTCCGAAAAAGCTGGGTATGCACAGGGTTCATCCTTGTGACGTCCTTTTCAAATTCATTTGTTCGTGTGATGCCAAATTATTTTCAAAGTTAGTTGTTCATGTAATGTCTGATTAAAATTGTTCTTAAGACTTCAAGGAAACTTACCAAAGTTGATATCCTATCCTTTATTCCAATCGTTTAATGCAAAAGCTTGGATCTTATGTTACCAAAAGTTCATGGTTGCTAGATACCTATTTTTAAACATGATGAGTGAGAATCATACAGGTAACTTTCAAAAAAAATTGAAGTCCATATTATTGCTTTGGTCTATATCATGTATATGTTTTCAAAAGTTCATGGTTGCTAAGAACCTTGTAAAAATCAAGGGTCTGAGAGTAAAAAATAATACCAAAATCTTGAAATCCTTTTCAAATTCATTTTTGTTTTAAGTCAAATAGAATAGGGGATGGAAACAGGGAATGTGTCAAATAGACCATAACCTGACCAAAGAGTAGAATACAGCCATAAGCCACCAATGGGTCTTCAAAGCAGGGAGAAAATCATGCACCTAGAAGCCGGCTTCAGCTGGTCCCTAAACAATAATGTATACTATCGGGTAGTTAAGCAAAATGGCCCCACACTAAATTCTGAAACATACAAATGAACCAACATTTAATAAACACACAAGAGTAACAAAGGCTAGAGTCTCCTGACTTGGGTCAAGCACAAAAAGTGCCGAGGGGTTGAACATGTTTTGTGAGAGATGAACTCTCCCCTAATACCACTAGCCAATATAGAATTAACAAACACGAAGCAAAACACACAGTAAAACTCAGTCTAATTGTTATGTTTCCAGAAATATATTTTTACAAGTTCTTTTTTTATCTCACCTGTCCGTAAAGGCCATGTGAGCCTTTGCCATTAATTGGCATTGGTCGCTAACTTTTGAAAAAAATCTCCTCTGAAACTACTGGGCCGAATGTTGCCAAAACACCAGAATGTTCATTAGGATACAGGTATCTAGTTTAAAAATTGTATCCGGGGATTTGCTCCATCCACAAACAGGGCAGCTATTGCTTAAAAAAGAACATAGCTCAGAGCAAAACTGACCTGTTAAAAATGATCTGCAGGTCAAGATCTATCTCGGGGTTGGGGGGGGGGGGGGGAGGAGGAGGGAAAACCCATGATGGAGTTATTGCCACTGAAATTTCAGCAAAATTCTGAAAGATTAAATGTGATCAGCAGGACATTTTGTCATTTTCAGAAATTAGGACTATAGATTATGGAGCAATTGCCCCTGAAATGTATTTCTTTTTACAAATTTTTGGTTAAGTGGAAAACTAATAGGTAGAGAGAAATTTTGAAAGGTAAAAATGACAAGAACAATAAGATCTACAAATAATTCAACATGGCCGAAATCATCAATTGGCACCTTATAGGAGTAATTGCCCTTGAAAGACGTTTACCTCCTATTTTGTGCAGATACTATAAAAGTGAGAAGTTGTGAAAGCAAATTAGATTTACAAAAAAAAGCCAACATGGCAAAATCGTCAATTGAACATTTAAAGGAGTTATTGCACTCAATGATTTTTACCTCTTTTTGCAGAAACCATACAGCAACAGCAAAATTTAGATAAACATGGGAGTTATTGCCCTTGCCAGATGATTTTGCATATTTTTGCAAAACCATATCATATAAAGAAACTAAATCGCAATTTTTTTGGCAAATTAGGATCTACAAATAAGTAAACATAGCCAAAATCGTAATTTTACCCATTATAGGAAAGATTGTTTTTACCCACTGCAGAAACCATACTAAATAGACATGAAACAATTATCCACCAAAGACCATAGATGTACTGTTGACAACATGGTTATCCTGCAATTGATATTCTTGACCACATCAGGATTGGGGGCGGGGAAATATGGTACCTGCTCCTGTTCTTTCAAGACTGATTATTTGAATATACATTGACGATGTCACCTCACTTTGTGTTCAAATATGGAATGTTTTTGCTGATTTCCAAGGTAGTGAAACTAAGTCATTTGTAAGCAACGTTCGTTGGATTTCATTTAATATTTAATATATACTCAACAACAATAAAATGCACCACCTCCATTAATTTCTTCGGACTAACATTTTCTATTGCTATTAAAGTAATTAAAGGTGATTGAAATGGGTAATAATTTTAATACCGCAATTCTCGAGTTGTAGAATAAAATTCTGTGAGATGAAGATGGTCTTAAAAGTTGATAACTTTGTGAAGGCTAAAGTCTCTTGTGTCTTTTGAGGCGAAAACAACGAAACTGGTGTTCCGTTTCTTAATTTAAAAACATCTAAATTCTAACGACCAACTTGAAATTTATTAATCTCAGGCGACTGTTTTGGGTGACATTCTTCTTGTCACCACTAAAACGATTTTTTATTAATTAATTTTAAACTGGATTACTTTCAAGGTTATACTTAAAATATACTCGAAATTTTAATGCTATGTTTTTGGTTGTTTCTTTTTTTGTTACAAAAACAAGAAAACGAGGAAGCGTGCAAATCATTGAAGATTTGCATCACTTAATACGCACACAGTCAATAAGAATATTTCCATTGGCAATGCAGTAAAATAGTGACCAGAGGCAAGTATGTCGAAACGGAAAAAATCAAAGACGCCAGGATTAAATGATTATGGTTTTAGAGACGGGCTTATATGTGATCCGAAGATTATTATACCTTGTATAGAT